CCATATACTGATTTATATGTATTATTTATACCGCCAACACAGCAGCATGTTGCCGAGTACATACCTCATATACATTCGTATATACATTTCAGCAGCCTGGGCAAACATCTGCCGGATTCTCATACAGCACCAGGCCCAAAAAAATAATATTGAGGCAGTGCTCGGTCAGGCGCAGAAACACACATACAATCGCACGAAAATCCGCATATAAATATTACGTTTTTTTTATTGTTGGATTTTTTGTTGGCTTCACAGGAAGCCTATGCACAGATTTGCGAAAGAAAGTTTCAAATGAGTTTCCATTGAAACGCCCTAATGCCAAATTAAGGCAAAATCCAGAATTGGGTTTATATGGCAGAAAATGAGACGTCAGACATGTCACATGCATACACATAACACACTCATCACGCACACACACTCAGTAAGAAGGAAAAACCCAGCAGGAAAATTCAACAGGAACGAAAAAAATATGGATAACGGAAAGAACAGAAAACAGCTTATAATGAACGAGAAGAAAGCTTAGGCATCAACGCCAAGAGTTTCAGGTTTTTTTGCCACATTGCCCATACGACATGTTGGCTTGCAATCACTTTCGATCCGAGAGATTGATGTTTCGCAGCAGATGCCGACAAAAAAAAAAAAACAGCAATGTTGGAAAAGGGTATATCCGAAAAATATGTTAAATTGTTTCTTACCCATACTGGAATTGTTCGTTTTAGTTAATCGACACTCTAGCATCTGCTGCCAAAAGTTTAAATGATGTGTCAGTTTCAGATAGTGATATGATGAGACAAAGTTTGGATGGGCTAATCAGCTTTGATGAAGTGCCGGGCTCTTAACTCGCTAAAGTTGGTTCAATAAGCGAATTAAAATTGCGTGAAATGGGGCCCACAAAGGGAAACATAAATTTTTCATTTCTCAGTTTCCTTTATTTATTCTTATCCCTCTAATTCCTTTTAAGCTGGATTTTTTTTCTTACATACATATATACTTCGTATTTGGTCAGCCAGGGGACAAAATTGGAGCCAAAATGGCAAGGCAAGCTCGGTCGAATGGGAATCGATGGGTAAATATACTTCATGGCCCCATTCTTTTCCTCTCTTCCGTTCTCTACCTTTGATTTTGTATTTTCCTCTCTTGTGTAAACACCATAATCAAATTTCACTTCAAAGACTAACAATTTCTGCTGTTTATGCTGCTTACAAAACTCTGTTTATATATGGCTCGTATATAAATGTACGCACACATGGCTTTGTTTATAGCCATAGTCTGTTGTCAGACAATTGATTGTGCATTCATTTTAATTAAGATCCATATCAATTGGATAGTCAAGATAAATGGCTAATTGTGTGGAAGGGTTAACGTGCCAGGCAAGAAATTTTTCAATTAGCAAATGAAACTGGCATCGATTCACGTCACTTTGCTACATCAAAATGAACTTAGCAGGCTCGCCCAGCTTATGATTTATCCTTATCTGCTGCCCACTTCGGGGTAAAGCACACACAGCCACGTCCACTCGTACTAACGAGGCTAGCTGGGCAGCGGCAACGACTTCAACTTGTTGACGTTGGCTCCCAGCCTCACAGCAACACGGCAAGTGGTGGGCGTAAGGGACGAAAAAAATAAAATCAGCAGCCATAGGGAGCCAGCAAATTGTTGAATGTACATGTACATTCTCAGTATGCGTGGGCGAATACTTATTACAGTACATCATCCTTCACTTTTACTTTTCGAAATTTTTTTTTGAAGCTTTCTACACAAAAAATTTTTAATACTAAAATCCATTGCAAAAATGTAAAAAAAAAAGTATTGATGATTGGCAAGATCGGACGAATTCATATTCAAATATTTACACATTTTTTTTCGAATTAACTTTGAACAACACCAAAAATAATTTAAAAGTTTTTGCTTAAAAGGGGACTTTTGAATATTTTTTTCAAACCATATTTTCTCACATACAATAAATTTACATTTGTGTTTGCCCAATGCCCACTGTTTTATAATGTTTAGACTCCACTAAAGTAAACCATGGCCAAATTAAAAAGTGAGCTCTCAGTTAAACAGCTTTTCAGAACAACTAAAATACATATATGGAGTTCGAGCTATAGAAGTTATCCTGTATTTTTTTTCTCATTCGCTCTACATACAAGCACCAACACAGGCGCGCCGACACATGGAAGGGGAGACTCGAGTGTTGGACTAACTGTTTTGCGGCATGCCAGAGCCGAAAAGAGCGAGCGGGACACAGTGAGATCAGGGGAGCGAGGCTTTGTGGAAAAGGGGGCGGAAGAGGCGCGGAGAAGACTGGAATGGAGGAAACGAACCGAGAGGAGGCAAAGAACGAAAGAAAGAATACCGGAACGAAACTGGCCTGGTCCTGCTGAAACGTTAAAGAGCAAATAAATGTCTCGCAGCAAACAAACGAAAAAGTTGAGGCATCAAAAGAGGGCTGAAAAGCGGAGAGGGTGGGGAAGGGAGAGAGAGCGCAAAGGGAGCCACAGAACTCCACACGCACACAAGGATGCTGCTTGAAACATGCTTGCTTATTACCGTTACATTCGGGGACTACTCCAAGGAAAGAAAGTCAAAGAGAAAGAGACGCGCAGAAAGGCTCCTTTTTACTGCTCTTGCCGAATTTTATGTTGTTAATTTTCGTTTCATCCGAAATTTGATTGTTTTTATTTAATTATAGCCTGAATCGTTTTTTTCTTTATTGATGCTCTGGCCTCTCACCTTGTTGTTGTTTTATTTAACACTTGTTTTGCATTATTTTTTCGCTGTTTCTTTGTGGCTATTTAAGTATAATTTTTTTGCCTAACCCACGTTGTTATCTTTTTATTTATTTTTTAGCTCGGCAGGCTGTTCAATCTTTTATGAGCTCACCAACACAGACACACACTCTCACCAACACGATTGTCTTTTTTCGCGTTGGATATTTCTCTAGTTTTCTTTTGTGCTTTCGCTCGGAAAACGCTCCGCTGACCGACCGACGTGCCCACAGATGGAAATGGAATGGAAACTCTGAATTACCCTTGGCATCAGCTCTGCTCTCTGCCTCGGCCCGCGTCGCTGCCGCTGCCGCTGTCGCAATCGACGTCGCTGCCCGCGTTAACAGCAGCCGTGCAGAATGTAATGCTACCGCTATAGGTCAGTGCTAATAACAGAGACACCTGCATCGCACTTGGCCAATCTGGCTAGCCTTAGTCTGTTATTTATACGCTGTTGCATATTTCAAGCATCTGTTTTCTATCACAACTTTGTTGCTGCGCTACGCATGTGTGTGGGTGGTGTGGGTGGTTGGGTTGGTTGTTCCCACACTCTTTACGCGCCATGCTGCTAAGTAGTCTGTAGTTTTTGCTGCGTACACAGAGAAAAAATATGTTTCACACACCTTAGAACACAAAAAGAAACTACATGGCGGATAATTGATTTTCCAGCTAAACTAATCGCAAGGTGTCGTATCTAGATTTTTAAACCTCTTAAAAATATGTCTTTTGACATTTTGGGGGGGAAAAAAAGCAAAACAAAAATAAATAAGATAAATTAATTACGCATAGTTTTAGACAACCTTTCATGAGGTTTTAAACCACTACAGACTCCTAATTACTTGACAATTCCTACTTATAACTTTTTTTAAGTTCAAATCAAAAATAAAATAAAAGCATGTCAAAGTTAATATATTTGTTATTTAAGAGAGTATTGTTTGGTATAATTTTATAAATTAAAGAAATTTTATAAAATATTACTTTTATTTTAGCCATGGATTCTGAAGTTTTACCTTTTTCTTGGTCAAATTATAATTTTATTAATTTTTTATATTTCTTGCTGTGCTTAGTGTGTTTTGATTGTGGAGAGCACATTTTATGGTCCTGCTTCCGCTGCCCAAGCGGAAAAAACTTACTTTATGCCAAGCGTTTCAGTGTGTTGTCACGGGTGAGCCCTCTTTATCTGCACCCTTCTGGTCTCCTGATTTTTTACGTTTATTTTAAAGCAAAAAGTAGGGGGAAATCTGACATTAAATACAAATAGAGAGAAACACATGTTGCCGAAAAAACGTAGGTCCCAAAAATGGAAGCCTACCAAAAATGGCCGCCCCGCGCAGCCTCCAAAAAGTTGTTGTTGTTGGTTGTGAAGTGTGCGTAAAAACATATATATGTACATATATACACATAAGTTGGCTAATGGCGGGCATAAAGTACCCAGGGAATACATCTACATTTATTACATTATTTACATAGTACCTAAACACTCCTGTATTTTGGTTTTCTTTGGAGAACACGCGCCATTTAATTTGGCATATTACTTGTTATTTCGGGACCCGAAATCGAGACGAGCCTAAGTCACATTTAATTCGATGCCCGACTAGCACGTTATTAATAAGCGCCGATTTTCCGCAATCTCACCGCAACAGCTGCGAATGCTATGAGCCCCGAACTGCGACTGAAATCGAAAGTGAGTGGGCGGGGAGGCTAACATTTAATTTTAACGCCAACAGAAATGGAGACGGCAACAGCAATGCGGCAGCAAGTGGGCCAAGAGCCTTGAGAGCCCGGCTAACAGAGCGCTAACAGCGGCGGGACCAAAAGTTGGCCAATAGGTCAGTTACACTGCAGTGGCCAGAACATGTGCGCCAGGCAGCTCTTGGACACATTCGCTGTTAAATATTCACACGTCCATCAATAGACACTGAGGTAAATCAGAAGTACAAGTATTTAAACTATAAATTAAACAGCATATATAAAAAGTTTCTTCAGTATTCAGAAAAATAAAGATACTAACTTTACACTACAAATGCTGACAATTACATTTTTTTTTATACCTGCTTAAGAAACACAACTTATTAGTTCATAAGTCATTCTTTAAGCTTTTAAAAAAAACACAATAATTTTGCACTTCAAAAATTTGATGTTTTAATTTATAAAACAATTTTAAAAGTAATTAACTTTAATTTAAAATAATAATAATAAATGGTTAATATTTTTAGAGTTTTAGAGTTACGGGGTTATGAATAATTAAAAGCAAGCTCTAATGACAAATAAATGCTATAATTTGTTACTTTACTTATTTACTCGATAAGGAATGCACTTATAGCTGAGGCTCCTCATTGAGAACGACGGGTTCGCCGTCCAGTTTGCGGATGGTGGGCAACCTCTTGATGCACTCCGCCCGCCAAGATGGTTCGTCCAATCCTTCGGATAGAGGATTGCCTACCACCACCAGATCTTCGAGGGACTCTATCTCGGCCAGGCGATTGAACTCCGACCAGTCCTTGATCAAATTATTGCTGATGTAGAGCACCTTGAGGCACTTAAGTCCTGTCAAGCCTTTGATTTTCTCGATGAGATTATAGCTGAGCCATAGCTCCTCCAGCGTTTCGGCCACAGCCTCCTGGAAGCACAGAAACATCTATTAGTTCTGAAGTGTTATTATTATTCCTAAGTTAATTTCACCAGTCCCGAAATCTGCTTGATGTAGTTCCTTGATAAGGACAACACTTTAAGGCACTTCATGCCCGATAAGCCGAAAATCTTCTCAATCATATTAGTGGACATACTGATTCTCCTTAAGGGTAATCCAAAATAAATTCGCAACAATTTGCTGAAAGAAGTAAGAACTTTCAAACTTACTCGCACTGCACCAGCGTGCCCAATGTGCTGTCCATTTTCTCGATGGGCGGCCACTGGAATTGCAGATCAATGTTCTTGGCAGTCAGGGAATTTTGCTGCTCCCGGTCCTCCCATCGCTTCAGTGCCTCCTTAATTGTGGTTGCTTTGGACATGCTGCTGCATCGAAAAACTTTTACTCAATGGACAAGAAAATTGGTGAAAACTAAACAAACTTCCTCGTTGCCAAGGTGAAGTAAGTTAGTAACAAATATCAATAGAGGCAAAACTTTATTTTCGCTCAACACCACAAAATACGGAACATTCATTTGAGGTAAGTCACCCTTTTACACAAACTTTCGTAAAAGTGAGGGCATTTTTTATAATGTTATAAGATTTGGGGAATTTTTTTCACAAAAAATAAAATATTTAAAACATTTAACACGTAGTTAAAAATATTTTAAGAAATTAGCTGTAAAATCTGATGTACAAGTTTGAAATAGTTTTTAATAATGTTAGATATTTTTTATTTTAAGGGAACAATAAAAAATGAATTACTATTAATGCAAACTGAAATAGTTTTTTTTGGGTAGATACATTGATAAGTCTTATGGTAATAAATGCTATTTTTGTAAATATTGAAGAAGATCGGCCATGGTTCCATCGGTTTGCTTAAATTTATACCCAATGTGGCGCATTTTATTAAAAAAAAAAACTTCTACGTGCAAATACTACTGCTGTAGTCAAAGGCTTTAAATGTTTCTGAACTTGTGACCCCAAAAAGTAGGCAACAAAATGTTTTGTAAAAATACAATATTGTATTTAAAAATTGTTATAGGTGATAAAGATACATCGCTTAGTTTATACAGAGGAGCGGGCAGACCCACCAGGTAGAATCACTTAACCAGCCAAGGCTGAGGGGCTTAACGGCGATCCGTCTTGCCATTTCCACGCTTGCCGGAGAACAAATGCTTCGGCATCTTGGTGCCGATGAAGCGATCCGCCTCGCCCTTGAGACCCCTGCTTGTGACCTTCTTGGCAATATCCCGCTTGGCCATAATCTGCGCCTTCTTGCGGATGGCCAGGTTCTTGATGCCCAGCGAGTCGCGCGACGGCGCCCGCTTCAGTGGCTGGCCAGTCTTCCTGACCACCGCCGAGGACTCCTTGTCGAGCAGCGGCTGCATGGGCACCTTCTTGGATCCAACGGCCACCTGGCCACGACGCAGATCCACCACGGACTTGGTGAAGTTGGCGTTCTCGCTGCCGGACATGTCGACACCCAGACCCTCCATCGTCGACACCAGCTTCTGCACGGAACGGTCACGCACCTTGGGCTGCTTGTTGCGCGGTATGACCGGCTTGTTCTTTCGCGACGACAGACGCTTCTCGTCGCGCAGCTCGAAGCGCTTGCCCCGGATTTGCTTGGCCATCTCGCGAATCTCCTTGAGCGTCTCGTCCATGGACATATCGGGCACTGTGTAGATGCCGCTCTCCTCCCGCAGACCCTCTGCGCGCTCCAGCTCCTCCAACTTGTCGAAGATATCGGCGTCGATGTAGTCGGCAATGTTGTGTCCCTGCCAGAACTCTGGAATCACATCGTAGCGCTCGTCCTCGGGAATTTCGCTGTAGTTCTTCTTGAGGTCCAGCGTGTAGTCGTCGCCCATCTCCTCTTCGATCTCCTTCTCCAGCTTGCGTTTGCGTTCCGCCTTCTCGGCGTTCTGTTGGAGGCGAGCGGAAGCCTTTTCTGGGATGCAGGGAGCACGGAGTTTCTCATCGCGAGGCGCTGGCATGGCCACATGCAGGCGGTTCAAGATGTTGTCCACCTTCTTGGTGCGCATCTTCTGGTCCACACGATAGGAGAGCAAACGCTCGCAGGCTTCGGTTTTCACCTCCATGACTCCAGTTTCCTGCACGGTGGACATGAGCATCACGGGTATGTTCTTGTCCTCCTGCAGCTTGGTGATGATCTCCCTTCGCTCCGCTGGCAAATCATCGGGTGTAAGGATGTCGATTTTGTTGATGGCCAGGATCAGGGGTTTGTTGGTAAACAAAGGCTTGATACTTTCGAACAGCTTGACCTGCTCCTCCAAAGAGTGACCGCACTGCTCAGAGATGTCCATGAAATACAAGACACAGGCGCGCAGATGAGCCAAGGCAGTGATGGCCTGCATTTCGATCACATTGCGCTCTTCCAAGGGATGATCCAGGATGCCGGGTGTGTCGATTACCTGCCAGCGCAGGTATTTGTAATCTGTGTGGCCCACATACAGGGATTTGGTGGTGAAGGCATAGGGCTGCACCTCCACATCGGCACGGGTGATCTTGTTGATGAACGAGGATTTGCCCACGTTGGGGAAGCCGCATATGATGATGGTACGCGAGTAGGGATCGATGGTGGGCAGACGAGAAAGATGCTGACGCACTTGCTCCAGATACGTGAGGTTGGAGGCCTGTCGCTTCATTATGGTGGCCATGCGACCCAGGGCAGCTTTCTTCAGCTGTTTGCAGCGGTACAGGGAATCACCATACTTCAACAGGCGGACATAGTCCTTAGCCACACTAGAAGATTAAAAGAGTATCAATATTATTAAGTGAACAACGATTTATAAATCAATCTGCGACACTCACTTATCCACCAAATGCCTGGCTGTGTTTAGCTGACCCAGCGCCAGTTTGTAATGATCCTTGTCGTACAGCACATTCATCAAATCCGCATAGAAAGGATGCACATCGTCCAACTTGGGGAAATCCTGTATAATCTGCGACAAGCGATCATGGAAGTTCTGCTGCGTGTACTTCACTTTGCGGGTGTAAAACGCTCGAATTCTCGATATTTTGTAGCCCTTGTGGACCACTGTCGGGGTCTTACGCTGTGTCTTCGACAGCATAATATCGATGAAGTCCTGCAGGAAAAGGATAAAAACCCAACATTATTTACATACTGCGCATTTGGTAAACACCTGCGGTGAGAGGTTATGTCGGGGCTCCAAGGGGTGCTCCGCTGGACGGACGCTGCCGGGCACACTTACCTTGGCTGGCGGAACCACCATGATCTTCTTGAAGTTGTACAGACTCATCTTGGTAGGATTTATTTATTTTCCGCGCGTCGAAAGGAAAATAAATGGGGAATCGACAGCAAAAACACCACGCGGTGTCAGCTTCGTATTCCAAAAAGAACCGATTCCTCTGCGGAACCAGTTCAGGTTCACATGTGCTTCGCGGCGTTGCCACCAGGTAACTCTTTCCGACGATATGGCAACGTTACGCCCGTAATGTGAAATGTTTCCACTAATCTACTTTAAAAATTTGTTAAAATAAAATAAAATTGGTTTAATAAAATAAAGGTAAACTTTAAACTTTAACTCTAATAACATCATTCAAAATTGATCCACATTTATAAATACGTTTTGTTTAAAAAGTTCAAGTTAAGTATAAGGTAGAGATTTTTTTTCGTTTTACGACTACAAAAGCATTGTTACAATAAAAGAATAAATGTCAACACTCTTATGTCCGTTTTTTTTAGCCTAGGTAACAGGCTTAGAGCATGCAATGACTTTTTGTTTAATTTAAAAATAATGATATAACTATTTGAAATATTACATTTTTTCAGTTTTTATATATTAGAATCATAAAAAAAATTCAAAAGATTCCTCTGCCAAGAAGCAAAGTAGTGAGAACAGTTTATTACACGTAGAAACCAAAACAAACCCAATTTGGGGACACAAACAAAATGGATTCAGAAGCTCTGTCATCAGTCTTTCTCTCGAGAGAAGAAATCATAAGGATATTAAGCGAAACGCCAGCGGGATTCATAAAGCCCACGAATCCAGCAACGCCAAGCCTGCCGCCCTTTAAGAAACTGGGAGTTTTGGTGGAAATTGATGAGATCGTGGGAGACCAGGAAAAGGCGGCCAAAATCAGTGATATCCGGGATAAGGAGCAATCCTACAGCTGCGCGGAATGTCGACGGATGCTGCCCACGGCGCATTTACTAGATTTGCATATCACCGAACAGCATGATTTATATTTCGCCGCCAGCGTGGATCGCGGCGATAAGCCCATGTTTTGCTGCTTCCTGGAGGAGTGCACCACCAAGTTCCAAACACCACGACAGCGCAAGGATCATTGTATTATAGTGCACAAGTTTCCGGCCAACTATCGATTCGATCAGGGCAAGGATAGGCCGAAGGAAAAGCGGCATCCCAAAAACAAATCCATTTCAATGGAGGTGGATGAGGTGCCGACAGAAGCAAAAAGTTTCCCCTACATCAAGGCCTTCAGTTTTGGCCACCAAACACACAGGACTTTCTACACTCGCAAGGATCAAAGGTCGCAGGGCGAAACACTTGAGGATGTCCAGACCCTGAAGGATGCCATCAACGATATCCTCGATTAGATTTACACAACTATTTATTTGTTTGCGAATGAAGCAGCATTATCATTATCCTGGTACAACTACATTATTCTGTTAGTGGAAACATCGAAGATCATTTTGCCTTGGCGCTGGGCCTGAAAATAAAATTCAGTTTTTATTGTTGATACCGGGTTGTTTCTCGCCTTCTTCTTCTTCTTCTCCACGGATTACTTACTTTCCGGTATTGGCATTAATATAATGATAGGCAACTACCAGCAGGAATAGAAATACGCCCAGGACATTGGAGAAAATGGCCAATTGCACGTCGGTGATCATTTTGTCAAAAGTTCTGTGAAAACCAAACTAATTGATTAGAAGCAAGTGGGCGAGTGACACGTCATGTGTGCAGGGCAGAATACTTTATTTCCTGCTTATTCAGCTGAAAATTAAGTGGCAAGGAAACATGAAACTCCTCGACTATCACTTACATACTCAAATAATTTCATTTGTCTTCTTAATTTCAAGTAATTTACCTTTTTTAGCGAAAAAACGAGCCGGTTTCTGTTGTGTACAAATATTTCAGCGTGACCGTATTTAGACCAGTAAAATATACCACAGGGCTCTAACTGCAATTCCATATAGCCAAAAAATACCAAATAATAATTCAGCTATAAAAAAATCATTTTAGCCCGCCAACTTTGAATCAACCAACTCCAATGGTTTCATATCTTCATAATAGTAAACAAATATATTTATTAGACTTTACTCGAAATCATTAAAATATCGTAATGTCTTTTAACGATTTTTTTTTTATTTTATAACATAAATGGATATCGCTTTATAGCTCTCCAGTTTCATTATTTTTTATTTTAAAAACAGAATCCTCAGTTTATCATTTGTTCTAATATAATTTTATTTGCATTGAAAATGTTCAGCTTAAAACAACTTGCTTACGTTTCGTTTAAAATTATAATTTAAGCATATTTAATCATCAACTTAAAAATTATTTAAATATCTTATTTAAAGCTTATATCTTAAATTACATAATACTTATTGCTTCCATTTATTTTTTGTGCAGCTTTGTTGTGAAGGTCACTTGTTTTATGGAAATTGTTGCGTCAGTTAAAAATTGTTTAGTTTAGTACAATAAATACCGTCATACAGATTTCTTTCAATTGCCCTATCTTAAAAATTAAAGTGCACTTGCAACAAACACACACACGCACACTTATGCACTCACACAGAGCTTATAAAATGCAAGTACAGAAATAAACTAAGTAGGAGTTGCGCAAAGCTAGGCTTCACTGTCCCGATATTTAAATCCAAAATAATGCAGAGCTGAAGATTCCAGCTTCGGCTACAATTCGTGGAATTTGTAGTAACTATGATGCACTGCTGCAGGGGGTTAATTTGAAGTAATCGTTATGCCCTGTGGTGGCGGTCCATTCATGTCTTGCACTGTACGCGCCAAATAAGGCTTCGTGTTGGGTTTTTGAAATAAGTCCGAGACATAGTTGGCCTGAAAGCAGAAAAGGGGTAAAGTTGATTTAATACACGAAATAAAATTAAAAACAATTATATATTATAAATGTTTTAAATGAAAATATTTTCCCATTCTTCATTTAATAAGATCATTGAATATGCCAATGGTTTTATAACTCTGTAACATATTTACAAGCAATACTAGCTTTTAAAATATATATTTCGTATTTGACGAGTAAAAAACAAATAAAAATGCATTTGATAGAGTAAACAAAATACCAGTGATCTGAATGGATATTTTAAAATAATTTTCAAAGTATCTTTCCTAGCTTAGAATTGATATTTTTATCCAAAAATATCGACCCCGATCCCAGTGCCACACTTGCAACATTATACAGCTGCTCCTAAAAGTATGCGTCGGTGTCTTCTTACCCCCTTCATATCTTCCTAATTGAATCGCCTTGGAATATGATGGGTCCCCCCCTTAGAAATACTCCCCCTGTTCCCAGTGAAGCGTGAAATTACAACTGGACAGCTGCATGGCCAGCTGGGTGGAAGAAGTCAACCCGACCTCGAAACAAGGTTTCGTGCTTCGGATGATGGCATTGATTGGCAACCATAGCCACACGCAACGCGGCACAGGCACAAGCACAGGCACTTTGGCTAGGTGTTGAGTTCTGCCAATTTGTAGAACGTATCCCGCAGTTCAATTAAGGCTAATGGCCACCACCAGGTTAATAATGAATAGTCGGGGTATGCAGAATTTGTGATGCTTTAATTGCTAATCTTCTTTACAATGTCATAAGCTGATTCTTTCTCAGTGCTCCTCTCTCACTTGGCCTTGCTTTTGGCGGGCCAAACTGTTTGAAAATTGAACCAACTCATGGGCAAACCGTAGCTCTAAAAAGATGATGGAAGTTGGTTGTAATGTTGGTGTCTTGCAAATTTATGTTACGACGTGCTTAGATCAGGAATAAGGTCAGGTGAAAGGTGTGCAAATAACAACTAAATTAGAAGATAATGTTCCTAACTTGAAACTTAATTACTTAAAATATTATAACAGTTTAAACAAATGAAACGAGATTACATAAAACAAAATTATGACATGTGAATAAATATTTGGCAAAAATAAATTGTGAAGTAATCGGTGAAATCTTAATAAATTAGACTCTAATTCTTCATAAATTTTTTGTGTTGCCCCATAAGTTATTTTAATTTTTATATTCTTATCCTTTAATTGAAAACTTTTTCTTAAAGCACTTAAACTGGAAACCGAGTGTTTAAAATGAGATCTTAACAGAGTTTATTACTCACCACAACTAAGGCGCAAATGGATCCAATCAGCGATCCTGCCAGCACATCGGACCAGTGGTGTTTATAGTCAGAGACGCGGCTTAGAGCCGTGTACCAGGCCACCATGATGAAAGCGAACTGGAGAAGGTGACGCAGCAGCTTGGAGCCCCGCCAGGTCATGCGTGCCTGCAGGTACAGCTGCAAATGGAAATGGTAATGGAAACAAGGCGAAACAATGAGGCATTGGATCGGGTGACTATATAACAATGGACTTACCGCCAGATAGACCATGGCGAAGAAGGTGAAGCTGGAGTGTCCGCTGGGGAAGGAGAGGCGCATCTCTTTGAGCATGCGCGCCGACGAACCGACTCCCTTGCACGTGAACTCCTGGATGTACCGCCCCGCATTGCTTGGATCGTCGCAGGTGGTGCCGTCGGGCATCTGCGGCTGGCACACCTGTGGGCGGCAAGAATGGAAGGTATTGATGGCATGGGCACAACGATGACTTGGACTTAAGCTGCTTAACGCTTATTTGTGGAGCTTCCCGCACATGTGCCGCAAATTAGAGGAGCTGCAACAGCTGCAGTTGCATTGCCCAGCATTCTGCCCGGTTGCCGCACTTCACTTCACTTCACTTCACTAAACAATAGGGCGGCTCTGTGCTGCGGCTCCCCTTCTAAAGTGATCCCTGTTGCAAGCAATCCCTATGCCGATCCCTATTCCATCTCCCCAAATGATGCGCACAATAACAAGCTAACAAGCCACTTGCCGCCGCGAATATTTATGAAATTGTCTGACATCCAGTCAAAATATCATAAATAAACAAAACAACTGGTCTGGGAATTCGGGATATTGTTTGGGGCTTGTTTGGAATCAGAAATACCCTGACAAGCTGTAAGTAAACAAACCTTAGCCCTTGATAAGAAATAAAAATGACAGAAGGTTACGTTTTAAAATTATTCAACTCCGTAATAAGTTAATTGAAGGAAATAGCGTAGTGTGAACCATTATGTTGGTAATACTAGTAGTAAGTTTAGTTCCTAATAGAGCAAATTCCGATAAAAAATGTAAGCCGTTTTTAATGATTTCAAATCTTTTGATTAATTTTAGCAAATTTAATTTAGGTAGGGTATTCTATTCAAGGCCTTGCAACCAACCATTAGCCATTAGTCCCCTTTTAGCCCAATACTATTAATAACCTTTCCCCACATCGTGTGCGTTTTTGACATTGTCTCGGAAACCGAAGCCCCTGCACAAGTTCGTCTCCTACTTCGACATTGGATTTGTCTTCGTTGTCGTTGTCACTGTCGCCTGTCGCCTGTCGCCCGTCTTGCTGCGCATGTTGCAGATTAAAATTAATTGGCAATGTCAGAACGGGGATACCGCTGTGAAATTGCCAACCACGAACACGCAGATATGTGTACTTACCGCGATGAAATGGGGACGCAGCCGGCCGATGGAATATTTCGCTATATCCGTGGTCAACTGACTGAGGACGGCTCCAAATGCATAGATGCCCACCTTCTTGTAGCACTCGATCAGCCAATCGGGCAGATCGTAGTTCATAAAGACATACCGCCGACTGGTGGAATTGCCATTATCCTGTTTGGCCTTGTTCTGTGAAATTAACACCTCCACGGCGAGTATCTGAGGGATGGAATTGGAATTGGAAATGGAAATGTAAATGGGAGTGAGTGAGTTCGCAGCTCGTAAAACCCCTTTTTCTTGGGAAGTGATTAGGGCCCGCATGCAAATATTTAGAGTATCCGAAATGGGCCGAATATCGTTTCTAGGCCCATTAGAGCCAGACACATGTTGCTCTAGTTTTAATTGCCGACATGTGGACAGTGGTACAAGCATGTGGCATGTGGCATGCTATCTTGCATCATAGCAACATAGCTCAGCTCCATAGTGCCGACGACAACTGAACTTGAGGCTATTGCGCAATCTTCGCTCGAGTATCTGACAGCTGCTTGACACAATTTCGGGCTGTCCATCAAGCAACCAGCCACCAGCCACCAGCCACCACCCACCCACACCATTCACTACTTACCACGCCAACTGGTATCACCCCTCCAATAAAGTATAGCATCCAATTCCGGACCGTGGAGTCGTGGAACGGATGCTTCAGCGACTCGTCATCGCAGAAGAAGCCCCTCTTGTAGGGTTCGCCAAGCAGGAAAAACAGCAGTATGGGAAAACCAGCTGAAAGCAAAAAAAAAATAAATCGAAAAAAGAAATTAAAAAAAAAAACTACTCATTTATCAATATCAATATTAATAGTTTCCCCTTCCCCGCACATCTTAGTAGGTCATCGGGAACTAAGTGCTGGCGGCATTATCTTCTGGGGGAGTGACAGAGACCCTATTGACTAATGATATGTCTAAGCCAGCGATAAGATTTTCAGTGACAGGCGAACGTGTGCGGGGTTTCAATTTGGGGGGGGGGGCTCATGAAATAATTCCGTCTAGGGAAATCTGTCAGCGACTTCTTTGCCTGTCTAATTAAAAATTCGCTGCCATTAATAACATGACCCATAGAAATCGTGAAGCGTGCAGGCTGATTGATTGACTGTCTCAACATTGCTTCCCGGCTTCTTTATTTGTTTTAGTGTACAGAACATTTATCTAGACGCTAATTAAAATTGCATTAGCTCTGGCTCTGGCTCCAGCTCCAACGCTCCAGTTTTGCCTAATTGCCTTTGGCTGCAATGAGCCATACTACCTGCAGGCGGAAAAGAACTCTGGATGTCGATGAACTAGTCCAAGTCAGCGAGGCGTTGAAAATTGGTAAAGTTCTGAGTTCTCAAGTGCTCATTAGCCCAGGAATATGCTGTATATATGGAAGTGAAGTGCATGGCCAGCACTCCACGGCGACTTGTCCCTCTTGTGTAATTACTTTTTTTTTTTTTTTGCCAGGGTGAATAGGGTGATCTCTGATCTCTCCACAAAGGTGGGTGACACAATGCCGCATCCTGCGATCCCAAAACCTATTTGTTTCATTCTTTAGCTGCTGCAGCTGCATCAGGTCTCAAAATCTAGATCAGTGCCATTGTCTGGAGATGTTTAACGATCGCCGAAGGCTTCTGATGATGCTGGGAAAGTTATAGAGATGGAATTCTGGCAGAGATTAGCGTCATATTACAAACAGCAAGTGGCCGTAGGAGTCCTCTCTTTGTTCCATATCCATAATCCCCAGCCAACCACCCGGTAGCACTAAAATGTTTTTATGACTTTGTGGCAGGGAAATCGAAAGTGTCTGTGCGCTATAGAAAGATTTACCCTGATCTACATAAGCAAGAGATTAACTAGTTCGAACTTTACGTTGTTAAAGTGAAATGGGAAAATTGAAAATAGGGAAAATAGGGCAAAATGAAAAGGGAAAAAAATTGTGTTAAATGGGAGAAAAAACGAAACGATTTTGTTGATGTTTTTATGCGTGATTCTGTAATTTTATGAGGGTGACATAAGCCGTTTAAAAATTATTATACGGTGGCTGTGAGTTCAGCGGAAATGTTTAATTTAATGTTTTTGAAGGGGGACTGCATTCAACCGAATTGTTACGCACCTATGCCGCACTTTCATAGCAAACAGAAACACTGTCCATTTGGTGTCAAGTTCGTTTTAATAATAAAGACGCCGCCTGCTCCAGAGCTGTCATCCGATTGAAACAACAACGAAGAGGGCAACACACAACATAAACAAATTGTTTGTTAAACAAAGAGGTAAACGCGCCCACTTCAACCCACCCCGCAACAATCAGATTTCTTCAAAAGATCACCACTTTGCCGCCGCTTTCTTTACCCAATTCATTTCCCCATTTCCCCAGCTCAAAGCCACCGGCCTACGCTGCATTTGTATCTTTGTATCTCTCGGATGCTGCAAGTGCCGCCCGCCTTCCTTTCAAGTTACCAAATGTTTGCCCTTAGCAAAGTTATCTCTTGTTATCCAAGAATCTATTTGCCGAGTTGCAAGAGAAGAAAAGTCTCTACTCAAATCTGACCTCAAATACGGGGCAGCATCTAATTAAAAGCGTCTGACTTGCACTTGCCGCATTAATTAGACATGACGGAAGTCAAATTAAAGGCAATTAGTGCCAAGAGCTTAACTGAACTAAAAGACAACTCCGGCATTCTGCCAGATTAAGGATGACTGACCATGGCAAACTTTGAACCTTTGAACCCCATCAATTGATTTGATCGACGACAAAGGACAAAGCCAAACGCAATCAGACGCAGTTCGTTAAAAAAACTGAAAATTATTGATGTGGGTTTTGGCAATTTCACGGCTGCCAAGAAACCGAAAATTATTACCAGGAATCTTCCCAGGTCACCCGCATCTAGATTTCTCAAAAAACAAAGGTGTCACACAGGTAAAGATTTCAATTTCCAATCCGATTCGAACAACCTTTCCCCGACAGGTCATGAGTCATGAGCTGCTGGCAATTAAATGTTCATTACTTTTGTCCCAGGAATTGTAACGCAAAAAACACATGGAAAATCAACATCCATCTTGGCAGGTCATGTATCTTCGTTTCCATCTATTTTGGCCACATACATACATTCTTGTTTCTGTATCTGCTTTTGGACTCTGTTTGTTGTTGGGTGGAAGGTAAACAACAACAATGAGCCAACAATTGCCTCATGCCCAAAATGCATTGCATAAATATTGTTCTTTCTACTTAGTTTTGGTCAAACTGAATAGTAGAATTTCTTCCTCCCCCAAAAGCAAACACGCTCACGCAATCACGCTCGATAAATTATTGAAGTGCAGGAGTGGTGCTGGCGGTGGTGGTGGAAGAAATATCTGGTAGACGACCCCCGATATGCATTTCTGTATATATTTTATGGGTTTAATGACTCCACCTCAAGGAGAAAGGTGAAAGAAGCAGAGAACGAGGAGAAGATGTCTGTGCCGCAGCTCGTTCGCATTCAATTAACGTCAAACGGAGTTTCAGTCTGAAGTCGTGGTTTCTTCGGAGGTCGAAGAATTTGTTTGGTTAAGTGCCACTGACACTCTCGTGTCACCCCCTTGCCCCAAAATCACTTTATCAGCGTTTGTCTAGCGTCAAGAGTAATTTACACCCAAAAATTAGTTGACGACAGCGGCGTAAACTAATCTCGACCCACAAAAAACAAGAATTTTAAATGGCCCACAGAATGAGCTCTTAGATACTTTTGTCAGATACAGTCCTAAGACATTTTATAACAGATTTAACTAATTGGAATTTATTCGAAAAACTGATCGATATTTTGTCTGGGATATACATATAATATATTCAAAGAACTTTTAAATGGTTTCTCGTCAGCACGTTTTGATGACAAATCAATAGAAACTTTTTGATTATGGGAACATGCAATGTGCGCACGGCATGAGTTTTAGATTAGGATACTTCAGTCGAAAGTTAATTATGGACATTATCTTTCGGTATGTGAAGTACTTTTTGTGAGCTTATCTATTTTTATTTTCTTAAATGATTATTATGTTTTTATTTTATTTACGAAAGGGAATTTTTCGGGAGTGATTCATTTAGGATATTGCTTTACTACCTGGATCTTAAAGGTGCTTAAGGTGAGTCAACCATAATGCGAAAGCTGGTTACCTGACCGAAATCATGTGTCATGCTTTTATGCTAAGAAAATGTAAATATCCCTTTAAAAATCGCACCTGGAAAAAATGGCACAAATAAGCACAAACAATGTAGCCTTAAATTCGGTGCGAGGTCTTCGCTTGTTTGGCAAAACTGAACGATCAACTACTTATGGTAGCACCCATATCAGTTGATCAAATATGGCTACCCAAGATTGTTTTTCCAGTAGTGCCAATTGCAAAAATCCACAAAATGCTACTGATACAATAAGGCGGTGTTTTATGAGTCAGCCAGGTAAGCTAATCAGCAGAGCTTAGTAATGATCGTACATTCTCAGGTAAACCGGTTTCGCTACAATGCAAGCTATTGACGGTGAATTTTTATAATGGGAAACAATCAGATAAAGGTTCTTCATCCAGAAATGTCTTGACAAAAACTGGAAAAATAGCTTTACGAACAGTCATATGTTCTTTAAATATACAAAAGTAGTAGAGGGTTACGTTGAAGGTCGAATAATGTTGGTTATAATGTTATTCTTTGTTATATTTTATGAGGTAAAGTCCTTTAAAGCTTTAAGGTCATTTAAACCTCCGTAGTTTTTTTATAATTTTATTGACGCTTTTTCCAAGATATTGGTTTCTCAACTTTATAGTAGTTGCAAAGCCAAATGCTGATAAAGTTCGACGAGAAAGAACAAACTGCTGATTGTGTGAATTGTGTAACTCCCCCAATCGAATGCAACAGTCAGCCACTGCAGGTTGTCCACCTTTACCTGACACAATTTAACTGTCTCTGCTTTTGTTTGCACAGCAAATAAAAATAAAGGTAAGGCAAGCAGGAAACTGAAAAACTTCAAACAGTGAAAGTCTATTCGGATCTCTGTTATTTCGCAATAAACTTTATGGTAAATATAATAGCAAATGGATATTCGCTAAGATAAAACATACAAAGTTGTATTGTAAATACAATAAAATATATACATATATTTTTATGTGGATATATGCTAAGATAAGGCATACAAAGTTTATGCCCAGTTATCTCGTTTTCATGTTAAGCTTCAAGTCAGTTAAGTTCAAACTTCTATTCAGATTATTTTCCTTAAAACTATTAAAAGACGTTTTTGGAAATATATATTAAAATTGGATAATGCAATTTTTACTGTGCATAAATGTATATTTACGGTGACAAATAGCAAACACAAAATATTTATTACACAACCGGAAAATAGTTAAATAATGGCTTGAGTCAGCCAATCGATAGGGTTTTTTTCGCATAGCTAAGCTAATAATCTAAAATAAATGCAATAATATAATCAAAACAAAAAAAAATTTTTCTAAGAGAGCGTCTAAAGAGCGGGAAAAGAGAGCAAAAGCTTTGCAATTACATAAAAAGCAGGGGTGTGAGTGAGTGAGAAGGAAGCGTACAAAAGAAATAATAAACATTGCGACAGAAAATAAACACGCGGTGTAAGGTAAATAACTTGATGCTATTGAAATTTCGCATTGAGTTTGGAGGTAAACAGGTGTATTATTCGAGGGGGAGCAAGTACTGGAACTTTTACTTACCGCAGAGCAGTATTAAAACATCCAAGCCAACGCGGCAAAGAATTCGTTTGTTGGTATCCATGGTGGCTGTCTGTTGTTGTTGTTGTTGTGTGCTATCTCCCTCTTGCAAACGCACTTCCACCGAATCACCGTAGTTATTGTTGTTATTACTGTGGGTGTTGTTAACAACGTTTACCGTCGTTTGTCGGTTGGTTTGGGCCACGTTATCGGTTGATTGGGTCTCCGGCCGCCGCAGCGGTGTTGTCTCGCTGGATGAGGTTTCGTTTCTCATTTTGAATTTCACGTCTCGCGTTTTTTAGGTGCCGATGCAAAAGCTCCCAAGCTCAATCTCAAGCTTTCGCTCTCTCCCTCACTCTCCCTTTCTCTCTTGGGTGCTTGGCAGTGAACTTGAGCTTAAGAGCGAGTTGTTCTTGTACTATGTAGGTGCAAATCTGGTTTAACGTATACGTATGCCCCTACGTCATAGTATCTCTTTATTGTACTTCTTCTTCTTCTGCAAATGGGAGGAGAGACATCAAAGATAAAATTAATAAAAGATATTTTCAAATAAAGCTCGGGGTGAGTAATATTTTGAGGATTCCCTGACGATAAAGACAGACAGAGGTTGTGACGTTTTTTTCTTCAACCGACCTTCCCTTACCCCTCCCCCTTTTCCTGACTCATTGAGCTGCGTAAATGGCTGATTGAAGAATCTCATGATTTATTAGCTCTCAAGTGGCATTGAACGACGGCTCTCAAAAGGGTTAAGTGATGTCGTTTCAAATGAACAATAAACTTTCCATTTTCTACCCTTGTATGGCATTTAAATAAATACCGACTCTATACAGTTAAACTTCTTTAACCTTAGTAACATTTCGCTGGGGCTAAGCAAAATATTTTCACTTAAAACCCGAAAAATTTTCGACTTGCTTATACAAAAAAAAAACAAAAAATTAAAATTACTTATTTTTCAAGAGGAAACCAGATAGTATAATGCTGAACAAAGTGAACTCTTTTTATCTTTTCTGAATTTCGTATAACATATTGTACTTCCAAATTTGGACACATTCGGGTAAACCCATTTATAAAACAAAATTAAAAAACAAAAGTATTTACGGAATCTGAATGAATTCTTTTTACTTTTTATTCATTCTGACTTTATTTTGACTTCAAGAAATTTAAGAAACGTTGTGTTTTATAACCGATGTTTGATATATGTACATACAAAGCTTAGATGACTAGGTGAATAGTAAAAAAAGCAATTCTATTAAAAATATATAAATCAATTAAAAATCTACTTAATTTAAAAATTTTAACATTTTTTTTTAGGTTAGAATATATTAATCCTTTTATGCCTCTTAATGTATTTATTTCATAGTAAAATATTAAGGAAATATTAGCTATAGTAGTTCCACTGTTGATCTAACCCTGCATAAATTCCTTTCATTCCCGTTTTCCCATCTAGAGCCTGTTGAATTTCTATAATTTTGTGCAATCAACTTGACCATCAACTGGGCGTTATAATGACCAAGCATGGACCTTCTTGCAAACTGCTTGGGGTTCAACAAGGCCTTAATTTGACAAAACCACAACTCGAGAAGTGGCAAACGTCAGTCAGTACTTCAGCCATTAAGCATAAGGAGCAAAGAACTTATAGAACAGAAAATGAGGAGGAACTGCAGTAGTGAGCTTCGATTATGGCCAGGCCAAGGCAACCGGGCCAATGCATTCGATCGGACCACGACTATTTATAGATAGCAAGCGATCCTCGACTCCTCCGTTGCAATTTAATGCCTGCCTGGGTCTAGACTCTAGACTCTCGAGATTCAGATTCTCCTGATGAATGTTATTTACCTCTTTCCTTTCCCCTAATCCCCTTTTTTAACGAATGACAAAACAGCAGGCAGCGTCTTAATTAAAATATAAAAAAGAGAACAGAATAATACGGCGATATTATCGAATGCAGATTGAAGAGCGTGCTTCCACGCACTTGAGATTGTTTGGTCTGAGATTACATTTTTAATTGTCAGCTCCCGGAAATAAAAAGCGTATTAATCAAGCTAAATATAGCCTGCAACAGTGCAGGGGCGTCGAACATGTTGACCCATTAATAAACGTTTAATCTTGCTTATATATCTGCAAATCTTTACATTATCTTATCGCAGACTTTATTGCGTGAATGCGATAAAAAAGATAACTGAGTAACTTCTTTCGGTTAAGAAATAACTTAGTCATAATTAAAATATCGACATTTATTACCAACCTGTGATTCAATAATTTGTTTAACGTAACATTTAGTAAACATTATGGTTTCTTACTCACAAGATCAATCTATTTGTGTAGCCCTTGGCAAACAAGTCCATCGTAGAATTGATCTTGTAGCTTACAATGCTTTGTTTATATCCATTCGCTTCAAAGTTATTAATGAAAAGTAGATTTCAGCTTGCTGAAATAATTATATTTTAAATCTTATTTAATTAACAGTATTAATATTGTTTTTAAACATCCACTTTACTTTCAGTATATACTGTACTTTCAGTTTATTTCGTAATCCTGAAGTCATCGCTTATTTTAACACCACAAACCCATTAATTAAAAACTGTATTAATGTCACAGGACGTGTCAGTTTAACCCTGCATTACAAGTAATTATAAGATCATGATATTCCGAAGCAGCTGAAGGCCCCTACCCCCCACGCAAATCCTCCTGCTGATCACTTTAATTTCAGAGTCGAACGATTAACTTTTGTCGGGCAACGACCACAAGCTGAGCAGCAGCCCTCCCCGCCCCTTCAATCGAATGTCATTTTCGGAATATCTCAACGCGAAATAAGGTCATACGAGATGGAAAAATAATTTAAAATTCAAAATATATGCATATCGGTAAATGAAATGGTTCACAATTTACATAAACAACAGGCGCCAGGCCGCATCATTAAAAATCCAACAAGTGCACGCAAAGAATTTGGGATTGAATATGGAAAGTCGCAGTTATCCACAGGCATGAAAAACATTATTTTGCCAAGGAGCGCCAATTTTGTTATACGAGACGGGGATTCGATTTCAAGGGGACCACCTTGCAGACAACTTGTCGTCGAGAAGGAAGGAAAATCGACACCTGAAACGCTGCCCGTAGGCTCAAGTTCAACCAACCCATCGGTGGATGTAAAATGCTTGTTTATTGGCTTTGCTAACGATTGCATTTTCATTCCGGCTGACATCGGCAGAAGTTTGCCGACATTTTACACGCGCTTGACAACGAAATCCAATACGAATTGGCTAAAAAGGTTGGCCATTACAAATAAAAACAAATTATTGAAGTAAGTAAATGAAGTACAGACTGTAAAAGCTAAGGTCACTTTGTAATTGTTTAAAATAAATCATAAACTTTTGAAAAAGTTTTTTTTTTTTTGCGTGATGTATTTTAGAACATATTCCCTCGTTTTTCAAACACCAGTTTGGAGGAACTAGAAAATTATTCGTTTTTGAAAAGTAAAACAATTCGCACAATAAATATTTACAAATTACGCCAAAATAGTGTGCAAAATTATATGCCAAAAGCATTCAGAATTCTATGAATAATAGTTGGAATCTGATTGATGGACTTTATTTGTTGCAGGAGGCAATGCAAAGTATTTAACGTATCCGACCTGGCTGCAACGGAAAGATCTTGTAAGTGCTAGTAACTTGGCCAGATGCCAGAATTCTGGAATGGAATATGAATGGCGGAAAACTCTCACCGATAATGGCAATATCGGACGTGAGGCATTACAGTGGGATCAAGCAATTAAGATCAATAACCATGAAAAGCCAAATGCTGCTTTTCCGTCGAATGGCCCATAACAATGTGAAGCCTTTTGCGTTTCAATAATTGATAAGCTATCGGTGAGAGGGTTCCGCGTACTCCATGGCCTGATTTTGCGGATAAATGTAATAAATTGATTTTAGCAACAACAACAACCTTGACCGTGGAAGAACACAATCCATTTGTGGGAGGGAAAATCGATTTTAAACCAAACAAAATATACCCACGCAATTTCGCTTTCCACCTGCATAATTTACGAATTTTCCCACATACACTACTTAAGCAGACTTTTCGCATTTGTTTATGTGACCATCAATTCTTGAGGCTCCACAGACACTTTTTGTTTGCCGGCCAAGCAAATCGATAAAATGCCAAAGATACATCCACATCCATTGGCTCACTTGCTTAGTACAAATAAACATAGTTGTTTTGTTTAACTAAATTACCTTTACCGAGTAGCGGGCGTTGCGAAATTTTTTTTTAGACAAGCCTTGATTGCTGCGTCATCGTTATAGCTTTGTTTTCATTGCGCAAAGATGCTTCTTTCCGATTCGATATCGTATCAGCGGGTAAGGGTTATATATACGCCCGATTCCAGCACTCGCACTTTGTGTTTGGCTAATTGGACGAGCGACACAGAGAACTCGAACCGACCGCGTCCGTTGAAAAAAGTCAACTGAGGAGGCAGATAAGATTGCTTGTGTGTCAGGCGGTAAAAAAGAGCGAAAATACATAGAGAGAGTGAGCACAAAGTTCTCTCTGTTATCTATGAGCAAATGGGGAACATGGAATCGAATCTACAAGGACCGCCTAAGGGTATAATTTGAAAATAAGCTTTATCTGTAAGAAAAAGTGTTAGAAAACTAAGGATAGTCTGAATAGTATTCGTTTGATTCTATATAAAAACATTTTTTCACTTTAGTTAAATATATAAATGTCCTGCCATAGAGTCAAGTTGCATAGCCCTGAAACACTCGGCTTGTACTACTTTTTGGCGTACTCGAGTACTTAACAAAATCATCCTTCTTAATGGAAAATTAAAAAGTACGACATTTAAATTTTCTATGGTTAAACTATCGGAAATAGACAAATAAAATAAACGTTTATTTTCTTTAAATTTGAGGTCAAGCTATCGGATATAGAAAAATAGTTTTAGAAAGTGTTTTTTTACACTGTAAGCTTAAGTATAAAACTAGTCCACAGGAGGAGTGTTAGCCATAGCATTCGGCTAGTTAAAAAAAAAAGTTCCTCTAATTCATACAAAATTTAAGTACATACATTTTATAGAACTCAAATACTTTAAAACTATCAAGGATCATTGGATCAAGTCGTGTTCCATTCCAATGCCCAGTAATAGAGATCGCTGAAGAGAGAGTGTGAGAGAGAGTTTTAGTGGAAAGCAGGAGAGAGCGCAGCTATTTGCCATTCGCTGCTGGATATTTGGACAGCGCTGCTCTGCTCTTAAATTCGCCGTTCACTTCTTCGGGCGGCGTCGAACGGTGCGGATGGTTATCGTCGGGTTGGGTTGTTCTACTCCGGGTCTCACTCACTTACCATTTTCGCAGGCGCTGCGCATGCGAAACAAATAGAAAAGCAGAACCGAGTGCGAACAGAACTAGAGCAAGAGCAATAAGTAATACCTTCGAAGTGACGAAAAGAAATGAAAAGAAAAGAAAATAAACAACAATTAAGTGCAGCGGAAAAATGCAGTCCAAATAATGGCTGAGATTTTTACCTCGTATTATTTACGTTTGTGCGTCGCCAGCAGTAATTAAGCAACATTTTGACTCGGACTTAGCCGATCGCAATCGCTCATCGCTTATCGCTTGCGCAACAGCGTTTACCTTACCCAATTTCGTACCGCCCACAAAACGCCGACACCGTGTGTTTTAACAACAGTATCGATTTGTTGGCCCTATTTACATGCTGCCTTATCACAGTGCCTCGCAAGAGGGAGCGCCCATTAGCACATTCTAAAAAAAAAAAAACACTCCCGAGGATTATTCAAATATTTGTGAGTGTGTCTCGGACCGCCGATAAGATGACCACCCGTGTGGTATCCAGGTGCAATAGTGCCATAAATTGAGGCCAGTTTCGAACCGGGCCCCTCTTAAGCTCCATCAGATAAACCTTAGAAAATTCCGCCTTATCCACCATGAGTACCCTTCGTCCGGGCAGCGTTTGCGATACCACGCCGCTCCAGAGATTTGAAAGCCAAAGCAGCAGCGGCGAAGAGCCCTCTTCACCGACGGCTTCTAGTATTATAGCCGCCGTCGCTGCTGCTGCTGCTGCATCCCCAAACCAAACCCCCAGCCACAACAACAATAATGTTAAACTGGACCTACAGCTGCCAACTTTCGTTGGAAACTCCGGAAACCATGGCTCATTATACAAACCGCCGTTGCGTGGCCCCCGTCAAATCTTCGGAAGGATTCTAATGGATCTCTGTTTGCTCAGTTGCGGTGAGTAATGCTAAATAGATTACATACATCCAGGAACTAGGGCGAAATTCGTGTGAATCATTCTGGACCTTGAAACGGAACTTCCGCTGTGACAAACTGCATGACTATGTAATTACTATACTTTAAATCAGTGCCTAAAAATGTTTCAATTAAATATTCATTTCGGGAAACTAAACCGTCATAGTAGCTTCTGAATTCGTCACAATAACCCATCAGCTTATCATAGCTTGTAATTAAAATGTTATTGTATTTATAACTTAAGAAATTGAAGTAATAATTTATAATTTATAACTCTTATTGAATTTCCAATGAAATTTTAAATATATTATTATTTATCGTAGGTATGATTTCATTTCATGCCCACTAATTTAAACATTTTTTGTTCCCATTTTTAAAATCAAAATAATACATCATTTAGAATCTAAACTGTGCCATGTAGAATGTTTACATATGTGTCCAAGAATTAAGATCATTTTGTTCCCAATTGAGAAACGAAAACAATGCTTTTTGAATATGTTCCCATTTCCCTAGCACTCAACCGTTAAGAATAGGTTCTCTAATCAACATATGGAATAAATCATGTTTTTATACCAACTGCATTTCTGTAAGCTTTAAGAAAAGTATTATCACTTTTTCCCGGCGGCCTTTCACACGTTTTATGAGTTATGTTATCACGGGGCAGCAATTGATCTCTGGCACTTGCCAGTCATGAACTCATTCCACTTTTGAATCCATCACAAAGTTGTGAGCGTGTGCTTCATAGGGGGTTCCGCTATCTACATATATATCCATATAGCTTTATTCAACCGTAGGTGAGGAAGCGCCTCTTTCCCGCCGTGTTTTCAAACAAAAACATTTCTAAATTGCTTCAAAATGTTTTCAGCAGTGTTTATGTACTGGGCTCCTTTGTGGCTTTTTTGTTGTGCGTTTCAATGTTTCTATAATGAACAAGCACATCTCACCCAAGCGTTTCCTAAAAGAGATGCTATACAAATTTATATTTATTTGCGCATCATCGAGTTCGGACTGATTTATTTTATTCAATTTGTGGCAAGTTGTTTTCGTGAGGGGAGAATTTATCATTTGATTGTGCTGAACTCATTTCCCCACCAACAACGTCATGGCTATCGTTGTGTTTATACTAGTCCAATTAAGGCTGGATCAGCAGACCTTGTCTGTAAATGAATTGGACACCATAGCGGTTCTGGGCCACCCAAAAAGCCCTCGTCCAGTTGCAAAATATAAAGAACTAATGCATAGATGAAAAGCCTTTGAAAGTCATATTAATTTGTCCATATTTTCAGTGGGACTGCCAATGCTGGGTTTTTCGCTTTGGGGTGAAGCCTTTAACCGTGGATTCTTCTGCAATGATTCTACTTTGAAACATCCGTATAAAGAGTCCTCCATGCCCAGCTGGTTGCTTTACTTGATGTGCGGCGCACTGCCTTTTTCTGTGGTAAGTTATGCACTATATTTAGATTACTTATTCTACAACTAAATCGTTTACCTTTACTAGATGCTCGTGGTGGAGTTCTTTAGGGCCCAGGACAAGCGTTTGCATGGCCCTTTTGAGAAGCACCGAATGGGCAGTGGCTATCATCTTTGTCACTTGGAGTTGCCCACTTGGCTGCTGGAGTGCTATCACAGAATAGGAATCTTTATCTTCGGTTTAGGAGTGGAACAGTTAACCACAAATATAGCCAAGTATTCTATTGGCAGACTAAGGCCTCACTTTTACACTGTAAGTTAAGGGAAATGCTTTGGCATTCAGAAAAAGAAAAATCTTCTAATAAATATTATTTGTTCAGCTCTGTCAGCCCGTTATGCCAGATGGCAGTACTTGCAGTGATCCCATTAATGCTGCACGTTATATCGAGAAGTTCACCTGTGCGGCGGTGGATATAACTTCAAAGCAACTAAAAGACATGCGACTTTCGTTTCCCAGTGGACATGCAAGCTTTGCCTGTTATTCCATGCTCTACTTGGTGGTAAGTTCAAGCGCAACTAGCACTATTTAAATACTTATTTCACTTATTATTTTTGCAGATTTACTTACAACGCAGAATGCACTGGAATCGCATGCGAATGCTGCGCCACCTTCTGCAATTCTTGCTGCTCATGTTCGCCTGGTACACGGCTCTTACCCGAGTTTCCGACTACAAACACCATTGGTCCGATGTTTTGGCAGGATCTGGCATCGGTCTCACCTATGCCGTTGTTGTGGTGGGTTCGGATACTTCCTATATGGATGACGGTCCCATAAATTAATATGTTTTTTTATTGCAGACCTCGACTATGTGGTAGGCTGGACCCTTGACTATTTTAAGGGGGTTGCAAACCCCTCACCCCACCGCGCTGAGCTGCATTTCGCTTTAAGATGTCTTGTCTGCTGAAATTTCAGTTTTATCCTAGTTTTAACTTTGACCATGTCTGAAGAGGAGTATCTATTTATCTACGTGTGAAAGATTTTACTTAATAAATTTCAGTTTAATGTGTTTTACCCTAGACTTTACCTATTATTTGAAGTAAAATCTAAGTTATCTTTAGGAAACTATCGAAAATTCACATACAATTCCAATCTTATCTGTTTACATAAATCGTTGGCATTCCAAAACACAATTTGTACACCTATGTAGCTGCATACCATATTATTCATAAGAGGACACTCCCCGAATCAAGTTTTCTTGCAAATGTTGAAATCAACGGCTGCAGCGATTAATGGTTTGCTTTGTACCGATCGTACCAATACAAATCAATAGATATGATCTGTGTAAAAAAATGACGAAATTATGTGAGCAAAACAAGCAATTTAAATCAAATTACACAAGGAAATGTCCTTGACAGCGGAGATTAATAACCCAAAAACCGTTGCCAACTGGCTTTGGTGTTTTTTTGTTGGCATGAGCATATGACCAGTTAGCCATTAGTTTTTCGAGGCGACTTGGCCAGATATCGAAACCTGTCTTATGGACATGGTCCATACTAAGAGATCTCTGATCTATGGCTAATTAGCAATTGGCGCAAAGTCAGCAGACCAATTTGTGATTTTTAATTAGTCTGTGGCACCTTACCCCGCCCCCGCCCCCTCTCTCATCCCGATTACCCTCCCCTCAGATCAATTTGCATTTGATTTGCATATTAAACGAATTTATTGCCCTGGCCACTCAGCAAGATGAACAGGAATCGTAAGCAACGACCAGGAGCCAATGGATGATGCATCACTCAATCAGGCGGAGAGACAGCCAAGTGCCACTCACTTGTTATTACTGTACAGTGAACACCATTCCGGCTATCAGCACTCAGGCCACTCTGGACATCCCAAGGAGATTGATGCGGCCGTAAAAGATCGAAAGACAAACAACACATCTCCACTGAATGTGGAGTGGATCGTACCGCATTTCGATGCAAGCCTTTTCAACAATTAACACAATTTTTTATTTCGCTTTTATCGCATAATTGCATTTCTCCCCAGTCGATTCCCCAATTTCCCCAATTTTCAATTGCCCGCATCTGCAGTCAATTTCATTTTATTTTATTTTTGTGATTCCGATGTGGAGAGAGATTTGGGTTCTACGCGTGTCTGTCAATGGCTTCAAGTTTATGTCGAAACCTCTACAAGAAATGTTTTCCCCATTGCATTCTCAAGCAAGGCAGATGTACAAAAATTGAAACCGGCCAACAAGGGGGAGGGGTGATTCATAGTTTTTGCCTATGACAATTGCCAGCGGGTTGGCAATTTTCGACAGTCGAGACTGTAATGAAAATTGCTCAGTAAATTTCAGGCGCGAAATTCATTTCGAGGCATGAAAATTGCTACAACACCATGGAACAAAAAGGTAAAACGCCCCTTTTTAAATGGGAGAGGAGAGGGTTTTTCTTTGAGAACTATTACATGCACCACAGTTTGATACCCTCGGAAGATACTGCGTGTTAATTAGCCAAATTTTTGTGACAGTATTTTTAAAACACCGATTAGAGAGTTTAAATACCTCTTTTATTGGTTACCGATATCAACTGAACTTAAGATAATGCAACTTTTTATCTTTGGGATTCATGCTTGTTCCATACAAAATTCGGAAATTCCATTTCTAAAGCCTGACAAGAGAAGTTGTAAATTAAGAACGTCATATAACACAATCAAATTCGTATTAAAATTGTGACTATATGATTATTTTGAAAAAACTAGAAGTTTCATACAATTTTTATATGAGTTTCTATATTTTTTTGTGCTTCCGTTAATTACGTCACGTTTTTGGAAAGCCCTTCATTTTTGTGCATCATGCTTGGTTAAAAAAAAAAGTGTAGTACATACACTCATTTAGTTTAATATTGTTATTAACATTGAAAAGTTATTTAAACAGTCATAAAGTTTCGATGCATATGACTTTTACACTCAGTTAAGTCAAATATTTTGAGTGATACATTGTATGTACTATGGGTAACTATAGGGTAACAATAGGTTCGATTGTTAACAAATTTTTTCCTCTTGTTCTGCATGCTGCATTGGTTCTACACTTTTTTTGTCTCGCCGGCGGGCTGAGGCCACAATTCATACCTGTAACCCAGGCGTTAAATTTGTCCGGCACGTACAGCACGACAGGGACAAAAAGGGGGCGGGGCAGGGGGCGGTTGGCGATTGGCAGGAGGTCTGTACAATCGCAGGACGTGGGCAGGCGTGGGCATTTCAATCAGTGCTTGACCGCAGCCTTTTGTCCCGATTTCCCGATGGGCAACGGCAAAGAGTACGTGTACGTGCAACGTGTGCAACCTCACAATAGGAGGGCCATGGACCGACATGTCCTGCTCGCCCACCCAAACAATTATTTGGCCGACTTGCTGTCTTGGCTTTTCCCTTCTTCTAGCCTGATGCTTCCTTCAGTAGGCGTTGGCAATTAGCGTTGACTTTAAACGCTTATTAATGAGTTCAAGTCGAGCTTCGTGGCCCCAGGATAGGGATGTATAAATCTTGCAGATCCCTAGATAAAACTCGAGTTAACTTCAGCCAGGAGGCGTTACCGAACGAATCAGATTTATGCGGATATTAGAGAATACTCGTTACCTGGGCAACTCCTTCCCATTACGAGTGTTTTGTACTGCAATGCCTGTTAACTAATGTTGCAGCTTTGTTCTTGAGATATTTCCATTTGAATGCATTTCCCCCCGTTCGCTGTTGGCGAACGTTGTCACGATTGTAAGTGTCACATAAATAATCCAGACAGCCACCCCTTTCGGGGTGTCATTACATGCCGGCAGGAAGAATCGGGAATCCCAGCAGGAAGGAGTACTGGGCTAGGACCATTCCCATTCTGAGCCGACTTTGACACCTCTCTTTGAAAATGCGCCGCCTGCATTTTCCAGGTTTCCTACGGTTCACTTGGTTCTCAGGCTTGGCTGGAGCTGTAGTCGAAGCTGCGTGATGCATGGGATCGTGTTATGCAACTGGACAGGCTGCCTGGAGAGAAGGGGGCACTGTCTACTTACCTATGCATTCAAATCAGTGTGAACAAAAGTGTATTTAGGAACTCGTTTTATATATCCATCACTACAGTTTGAAAGACAAGAATGATTAGAACAAATTTTAAAATGTTCATACTTTAAGGAAGGTGATATCATCATCTCAGGTCTGGACACATATTTATTGATTAATTGCATAAAATACCGGTTATTTTATTCCATTTTATCATGAGTTTTTATTCTGTTGCCAGCACTCATGCTAAATTCAGACAAATATTAGCAAACATAACTGGATGGGGCTGAATAATCAAAAACGAAGTGACTTAAACCGTGAGCAAACAGTTTGAGAAAATAATAATGAAATAGTACCAAAATATTGTATCAGTACTATATCAGTTGTATAGTTTAACATACTTGAATCAGATATTGAATTCAAAACTAACCAATTAGTTTGCTTTTAATTTATACCGCAAAGCCTATTGTTTAAAGAGGAATGGACGTTACTTTTTGATTACCTAAGCCACTTCCTTCATATATAAAATTTATGAGGCGAAAACATACAATTTTTATTTGAATTTTTTAAATCTTTAACCCTATATTGGTTTTAAACTAAAACTGAACGTCAAAAAATAAATCAAAACTATTCGAGTATTTGATTTTCTAATCCATTTTCCCAGTGCAGTTCTCAATGAATTACGAAGTACTTCAGTTGGTTGTTTGGCCAGTAAACATGAGCCTGGCATATTGTAAATAAACAGTCCATGTATGCCAGAAATGGATGAGCACAGATTAACTCGATGGGCCTAATCCCACTGAAATTGCTTATCAACTGCGGACAAACAACCACGTACTCGTCTGCCCAATCACCAGTTGTTGGCCATTTGACTAAGTACATTGCAATGGAAATTGCTTTGGCAATTTGCTAGTAGCTCCCCGCCAAAATCTCTGCCCCGCGCATTTTTTAATTGAATAAACACGGCGGTTAGTGTGTTTACATTTTGAGTGCATCAGCAGCAGTTGCAACGTGCTACGTGCAACAATTGCAGCTGCTGCCGGCGACATGGCCACCGATCAACTCTAATTAGCGGCAACCAGTTGAGGAGACAAGCGCTGCGAACGGCGGAAGCGGTCAATTATAAATACTCCATGGAGTCGGGCAAGGGGGAGTGGGGGAATGGGGGCAGGCCAGGTCCAAGTTCCAAGTCCTGTCCAAGTGTCAGAAATATTGTCAAAGTCGCTGCTCAAGCCACACTTACAAGCTATATCTATCAAACAGTAAAACTTCTTAAACTTCAACTTTTGTTAAATATTTCAAAAATGCAAAAAAAAATGAATATGACACAAATTTATAACTTGAAAATCAGGAAAATAATTACCTGTTAGTTTGCCCTGAATAAACTGAATAAGGAACTTTCGGAAAAGGGTTTCATTTAAAAGTCCTATATATAACTCTCACCTAGTAACATTCCCTTATCCATTTTCTGATTGATCAGTTTTATAAAGTAAATAAAACATATTGTCCAACTCTTTGACTTTAATTGTAATAAATAAATAAATGTATGATGAGTTCATTTTATTAAAACAATGCGGTTGCATAGTCGTTAATTTATAAAGTAGTAATTTAGAAAACGTTTATTTTTACAAGTGAATAAATATATCAAAATTACTCAGCAAGCTATTAAATACTTGTGACACATATTTAAATGTATGATCTTAAGCTAAGTCAATAAAATAATGTTTAGAAATTACTTATAACTCATAATCTTCTAAACAAAATATTAATTTAAAGGTACGATTTATGAAGGCTCGACTGTAGTGGCATTTTCAATTTGCATATTTGCCCGCTGGCGGCTGGCCAAGCTGGTCAGCTTCCCCGGTGACGTTGATGGTGGGCATTATCACGGTTTTTATGCCGCCCGTGCGTGATACGCTTTTCCTTATCGCTGCCATCGTCTGATTTATATCAGTCGTAAATATAATTGCAATATGCTGTCCAAATATGAGAGGCGTGACATGAGTGCATCGGTTATCGATCGATGGGTGATGGCTGATGAGTCCACTCGTATTAGCGAACTTCTTTGCCATATGGACGCTTCTGCTGCTGACTAAGCACACACCCAGTGCCCAGGTAATTCCGCTCATGCCGACGATCCTCCTCCTTGCGAGCGGCACGCTCCTCAGCCTTATGTGTCATATACCGCTGGTGCCAATCGCGATTGTGAGTCTGAAACAAAAAGCCAGCGGTTGGGAATATACAAAAATGTTGGCAGTAAAGGTGATTTCATCTCACCCTGGCGCATCGCTTCTCCATGAGCTCCTCGTAAATCTGCCGATCTTCGAGTATGTTGTGCCCCGCATCCTCACGGATCTTGGCCTGCGTTTGTTGGGCGCCGATCATAAGATTCTGTTTGATCTGATCCTGCAAGTCTGTGAGTTGCTGGCGGCGTTTGTCTTTCACCTTCTTGAGGTCATGTTCTTTCTTTAGTACATCCATTTCGGCAGCAATTTCCAGGCTGAAAAAAATAAATGGCTGTACTATGAAATAAGTACAATAACTAAAACTAATAAAGAAGTAAGAAACAATCGAGTTTGAACACGAATAAGTTCCGATAGGAAAGAACTGCTTTGGTGAAAAAGCACAAAGAAACAAACTTATCTAATAAAGATGTCTGAATCATATAAATAAATTTTTTAATTACTTCTCTGTAAATCTAGGGTTTTAATAATTTGTTTTAAAAAAAAATCTATTTACTTGGAAATTGAAATAGTAAAGGTTTTTATATTGTTCCAAAAATGTTTCTGCTTAAAAAGTGTTTAGGTCGACTAGGTACTATATATGTCTGCAGTTTGCTAGAAAAGTTTTCTTTAATGTTGCAGAAAATTTTGTTTTTTAACATTGATTTTAAAATTAGATGTACTTACGCCTGGGAGCATTCTCGTTGTTCGGTCAACACTTCCTTGGCGAACTGAGCTTTTAGCTGTCGATCCCTTTCCAGATTCTGGGCCTGGCACCTGCCCTCTATCAAGTTTCGTAGTTTCAGTTCATACTGCTCCTGCTGGGCCCTACTTTCGTCCAATCGCTGCCACACTCGCTGCCAAAGGATCTCCACGCAGGCTTGTCGACGCTTTAGATCCTTTTTCTCCTGTATTTGATGGAGTTGAGCTTGTTTGGACTCCAGGAGGATCTCTTTTGTAAGCATGTGACGATGGGCCTCGGAGTTTTCACTGAAAAAAGGGGATATCACATCTGGTTTGGGTTAAAAAAAAGTATAGATTTTGTACATTTCCCTTTGCTGCATCTTAACTTTGACCAGTTCCTTTTCGGCCTCCTCTCTCTTCAGTCGCTCCATTTCGATCCACTCGTGTCGCCTTCGATCCGCCTCATCTGCCTGCTCCTGCAGCATTTCAGCAATTTTTTCATCCGCCTGCAAAGCCTCATTTTGCAGCAGGAGACAGAGATTCCAGCGGCGGTTGTCCACATCCTCATACCATTCTCGCATCTTTCGCGCCACCTGAAAGCCCACTTGCGATTTGAGGTTGCGGCGGTCGGTGCGACTGAGGAATTCCACAGCGTTCATGTTTTAGGTCGCTTGTCTCTAGAATCACTAAGCCTTTTCACTTTAATTTCTAGTTTCTATGCGCCCACAATGCAGTCGGTTACCCAAGTTTGGTACTATCAATTCCATTATTGCTATGGTTACTGTTTACCTTAAGTCAAGTTAAAGCTTTAAAAATATGGCAAAAGTTGGGGGATGTCCATTGAGAATATAGGAAATGTTCAATCGTAATACATTTAAGTCAAGATATTATTCTTAAAATTGTTTAATATTATTTTGCCAAGAGAGCGCATTTTAGGGTCTAAATTACTTCTTTAAACATTTTTTTGAACACCAAGTTTTAACCGCCTGAACGTTTTGCCCCATATTTCTTTTATTGTACCATTTTACACCATATACCATGCGGTACCAACAAATCTTACTTTGGAACAGACTCTTTAACTTACATCTGTAATATATGGATACCGTACTTCTGACATCGTATTTCGATTCAAAAACGATTGAGTATACGGCGTTTTTAAATGATTGCATATTAAAAATAATTTCGATTTACATTTTATTTAATTTGGGCTTCCATTTTATATTCTGGGAGAACATTGCCTTAGACAAATTGACTTCCTAAGACCTGCGGATCTGGCGTTGACGGGATCTACGCTGGGTTCGTTGCCTTTGGCGACGATTTGCTTGGCGAATCCGCCGGCGCCTCTCCTGGCGTTTCAGCCTGCGAATCCTGCGCTTTAGCCTGGCCACCTCCGAGCTCCTGTCGGAGCTCGAGGACGACGAGTCACTGGGCGAAGAGGTCACACTGGAGGATGTGGGCGTGGCTGGGGTGCTTGACGAAGTTGGTGCGGAAGGGGAAGTCGACGGAGCAGTTGGGGAGGTGGGTGAACTTGGGGAGGTAGGAGATGTTGGCGAGGTTGGCGAAGTTGGCGAAGTAGGCGAAGTTGGAGACGTCGGAGAAGTCGGCGATGTCGGCGATGTGGGTGAGGACGGCGAGGTTGGACTAGTCGGAGTTGGATCGTCGGCGTGGGCAGCCGCAATCAAGGCCACAAGTCCCAAGGCGAACAAAACTGGGGATCGCATCTTCAGCTCTGTCTTTCACTTAATAGAGTACTGTAAAAATTCTGGTTTAATTTTGAGTATTTATAAGGAAGACCCCTTTTGTTGTGGACTAATAACAAAATCTGTGTTTGCTTTAGATTGCCACATGTCGAGAAACAAAGAGGGATTTTTTTGGTAAGACAAACAGATTTTAGGCTGTAGACAGAATTTAGATGATCTTTTGTTGAAAACCTAAAAGCTGGATATGCGTGTTGAAAGTTCCATTGTGTTTCTAACTAAACAATATGCTTGCTCTATTGAATTGTTAACGAGTGTGCAAACACAAGCAACACGGGTACGGGTATCAATAGATGTAGTGTTTAAGCAGTTAACCATATATAAATAACCGAAAATATAATAGCTTAAGCTTTTTTCACAACTAAGAAAGCTTTTATCAAAGCAAGTTTTACACTTTTTGTAGCATACTTTTTTTATACTATATTTTCGATCGGTTTTAACCAGGAAACTGAGATTTTGATTTTTTCAAATAACAAAAATCACTCACTTGAAATGACTCTAGAAAAGATTGGTTTACACCATAACCATTATTTTTTGCGAAATAATCAGTTTCTGACATAATTTTTAAATTTTCATTTAATTTTAAGTAATTTTACAGAATTACAAAATTAATATTATTTATTACAAATCAAACTCAAATATAATGGTTATTAAAGATTCTATTTTCTAAATATTAATGTTTCAAAGACGACTTTCTCTTTTCTCTTAAAGCTAGAACTTAAGTTTAGACCTACCACTTTAAACTTAATTTAATAAATTGCTAAGCCTGTACTTCCCAAAGTAAATAGACAACTATTGAGCTTTCATATAAACATTTTATTAAAAGGTATTTTTTTCAATTTATGCTGGAACTTTCGAAAAGTCCTGTTCGTATTTAACCCCGACGGTTGCGGTTGCGCTGGCGTTGCCTCCTCTCGCGGCGTCTTTCCTGGCGCCTCTCGCGACGCCTCTGCTGGCGACGCTTCGCCTTTCGCCTGGAAGAGCTGCTGCTGCTGGAACTCGATGACGACGAGTCACTGGGCGTCGAGGAAGAAGTGGGCGTGGAAGCCGCAGTCGGAGTACTGGAACTCGTGGAAGTGGCTGAAGTCGTTGGTGAGGTGCTGGAAGGACTTGTGGATGTCGAAGAGCTTGGGGAAGTAGAGGAAGTCGAGGAAGATGGAGAAGTAGACGTAGAGGTGGTCGAGGAAGACGGACCCGTAGACTTAGAGGTGGTCGAGGAAGATGGAGACGTAGAGGAATTCGAGGAAGTTGGAGATGTAGAGGCGGTGGAACTGGAGGACGTTGGAGACGTGGACGAAGTGGACGAGGAGGAGTCCGTTCCCGTGGTTGAGCCTGCGCCGTAAACAGCCGTAACGAGAGCCACAAGACCAAAGGCTAGGATAAATGGGGATCGCATTTTGAGCTCTTTCGTTCTCTTACTGTACTGAAGTACTGTATATGTCTTGTTTTGAACTTCAAGTATTTATAGGACATATCTCAAATGTTGTGGTCCAAATGCGGATTCTGTGTATGCTCTAAGTGATCATATGACGCACGTGGCGGAGTAGGGTACTCAGTGGAGATGCTGTGGAAAGTTTCATTGTATGCATTAATGCCTAGTTTAACAATAGACAATTTGTGGATTTATTTGATCTAGTTCATTTTAAGCGAGTGTGCAAACACAAGCACCTCCGATGTCAATAGAAATTGTTTACCCTGTCTGAGTTATTCTTCCAGTGCTTTACCATTTTACCTTATTTAAATAACCGCAAAAACAGTTGCCAATTTCGTTTCTGAGAGAACTTGAAGGATGACTCGACGTCTGCCAATAAAATTGCAATGCCTTGAACATTGCAAACTTCGTTTTTTGATCGTTATATAATTTTATGTGCGTTAATTTTTTTTTAGACTACAGAAAAATGTAATTTACATACCCATTTGTAACTACAGGGTGACCCACAATTATTCGCAATTTTTTTTTAAATCAAAGAATAAACTTATTTGTATAGTCAATAACCATTTAAAATAATCACAATTTATAAGCACCACAAAACTTTACAGCATCAGATTTCGTTGTGCAAGTATTGAGTCCGTGCATCTAATATTTAATAAAAGGTGAATAATAGGTCATCGAATTTCTTAGACCAATTTTTAATAAATCCAAGTATTTCCGTGGTAATATGGTCAGAAAACTCTAGTTTTAAGTGATTCAAAACGTATTTAACATACGATAAACCACATTTTTTATGAAGAAACGAGTGAAATAAACTTGTAAAGTAAAAAAAACTTAATGAATGTTATGATAGTAGATCTTTTAATGAAACCTGGGTAACGGATAGTCGTGGCCTGAAGTGTTAGATTTTTCTATATATAATTATTAACCATTGAAGCCATAAAGTTTGTTTTAAAAATGTATCATATACGAAAATATTTTGGGGCGTTATATCAAAAATATGCGCAATGCCGGTGTACAATATGGTGTACAAAAGCATAAAATACAAAATGGGCTGAATTTAAATTCAAATTCCGTTTGAAGTTCTTCGATTAAAGTACCGCAGAGCTGCTGGAAAACCTTGTCGATAAATTCTCATATTTTCGTTACATTCAAATACATTCGTACACTTTACTTGTGTTTGTGTGTTGAATATCGTTTTTCTAACAGAATGTTGAAATCCATTTTCTAACATCTCTGTTAGGTAAACGATGATGAGTGGGCAGCGCTGCGGCAGAGAAAAAGCAGAGTAGAGATGGAAAAACATCGATGACAGCGACGTTGGCATCGATGATTCACCACCTTATCGATAAATACTCATATTTTCGTTACTTTCAAATATGGTATATTGGTACATTTTGTTTGTGTTTGTGTGTTCGCGTTGGCGTTGTCATCATCAAATCGCATCGCTCCGCTCCGAAGAAAATCGTGCCAATTGAGACCGTTTTTACCTGGCCAGCGTGTGTGGTTTTGTCGCCCGCCGACCGCCCGGAGTTTTAAATTGGCGTTACGGCTGTTACAAACTTGCATAGTGCCTTTAAAACAGTGCAACAAGTGGTTTTTAACACTTTTTACAAGCCTTCAAAGTGCCTTACACACACACACATGTAAAAATAACCTACCTGACCAGAGCGCGTATGTGTTTGCTACAACGACAACAACAAAAACAACGAAATAACTAACTGCTTTCGTCGCAGTTTTTTTGCAAGTGTATTGGTTAATTACGCCGAAAAATGTTAAGCGGGCAAAATTAATTGATGTCTAATTGAATTACGCGGGTGAAAACAGAAAAGCTAAATTTCTGATCTGATCGTAGATCTGGTGAGAAATCCCCAACGCGAGGATCTGTATCGTGTGTGTCAATTCATTTTTATAAATATAGATTACAAGTGCACTTAAACAAACAGAAAAACAAAAAAAAGGAAAACAAGTGATTAACTGGCAGGTAATTATAACTGCTCTTTTTTCGCCCTCTCTTTTACCATTTGCATATTCTGAGAGCCTCTTTCTTTCGCCGTTTTTGCGCGTTTTCACTGCAGATATTTTATTTTCTTTGGGTTTTATGGTTTTTTGCCTTTCTTTAGTCATCGCATCTTGCACTTGCCCTCTCTTTCTTCTAATAAGACTCTTCTTCTTTTATTGGTATGCCTGAAGTTTCTTGTTTTGCCACCCATACAAAGGTACAAATACCTGTATAACACACACACATTGATTGGAATGTGCGCGGTTGTTGTTTTTGTTGTCGTTCTCAATACATATTTGTTGTCAACGGTTTTTACTTATCAATAGAACAATACCAACACAGCTACACCTGCATTTCTTATTGGCTTTCGGAACCTTCCTGTTGGATAATAATAATGAGTGAACAGTTCTGTTTAGGGAAATTAATGTTAGAAATTGGTGAAGCTGTTTTTTTTTAGCACTCTCAAGAGAGCTGGCATTTTCCATTCCCGCTGCAGTTCCACACGTTTTCACATTTCCATATTTTTACCTTTCTGTGTCAATCACCTGTTCTGCAGCGCTGGCACTTTTCACATGCCAACCGGCAGCAGCAACAGCAGCAGCAACAAACAAATTAAAACATGTTATATATAGCCATAGCCCCGTTGAGGTGCCAACTTTTGATCGGCGGATTCCCACCGAATTCCATTCGAAAAGTCCAACGAAATCCCATTGTGCTTAGAGTCTTATTGGTACTAATCCCATGCAAATTCCAATTGGCGCGTTCCCATACAGTCGGTCCTCCCTAGCTAGAAAATTATTTGGCGAGATAACTGTTTCGCTTATATCATTTTTTAGTATTTCAAAATAAAATTTCTCAAGTAAAAGTTTTTGTCATTAGTCATCTTCAGAAATTTACGTTTTATTGAAAAGCGTTAAAATATTTATGTTAGTTGAAATTTGAATTAGTTTTATTCTATAGAGTTCGCCTTGGCGGATTTTCCCAGTTGTCGCCCAATCTTGGCTGGCAACACTGAAGAGAATTCGCCGAGACGTGGGCTCCTGCTCTCGCCGCGCAGTCAGCTGACCGAATTCGCCGGTGTTTATGTTGTGGGCGCAGGCAGCGCTGCCAGTTGAATTCAAACTTTCGACCGGCTCGCAAGGATATGTCGCAAGGATACGGGTGCCACAGACTTTAAGAAACGACTCCTTCGTACGTGAGCCTTCGCCTGAGTCTGGGTTTTTCAATTATTCACGAAGGAAAACAAAGTTTACGGCTCTGCAACTCCCCCGCCCACTTTTTCACTTATTTCGTTTTTTTTTCGTATAATTTCAACTAGTGCAAGGCGAGCAACAAAAACAATGCAATAACACAAGACAAGTGTCGAGATAGAGAGCAAGTGAGAAAGAGAGAGCGACAGCAGCCGTTCAAGTGGCAAAGTGCAAATGTATTAAATAAATAAAGAAACGAAATGAAACTCAGTTGCACAGAGAGAAAATGTTGAACTATATTATTTCATGAAAATGTAGTATGGTGTCATTATAGGTTTATCAATGCTTTAATTTCAATATAAAAGAAACGATGTTAAAACTTTTTACTTTATTTACTAAAAGTTAATTATGATTTAAAATTAAAAAAAAAAAAAAATCATATATCAGTTTTTCTTTCTGTGTGACTAATATGTGTTTGCGGTTTTACTAGTTTCTGCCCTGCCTTTTGGCCAGCTTTCTTGGCGCATTGCATAAGTGTTGGCCATTTCACCTCACTTACTCACTCCCTCCTCCTTTCTCCCCTTTCCGCAGATAAGCAAGTCGACGTGACGTACTCGTGTGGATTAATAATTGAGCAAATAGCCGGCAGATAGCAGTTAGCAGATAGCAGATAGCAGATATAGCAGATATCGCCGAACGGACGGTACAATGGAGTCCATGGAGTACGAGATGGCACGCAACATGACGCTGCTCTTCTTCTTGGAGCGGCTGCTGGACAAGGGCGAGCCCCGCACCGTCCACGATTTGTCCTGCCAGTTTGGCAACAAGGAGTTCACCAAGGAGATGCGACAAATCGCCGGGGGCAGTCAGTCGGGTAAGTCCAGACTCCAAAAACAAAACGATTCGGTTAAACTCCTTTCCATTCCTTCATATACAGTAGAAATTATTCGAATCATACCAAAAACTCTCCAAATGTATATATATATTTGGGATTTCAAATTGATATAAAAAACTTTTGGCCACAAAACACTATAGAAATTCTATTACACCAGCAATGTTAAATTGGTTCAATAGTCACTGACGAGACTGCTACTTACAAAAAACCATTAAAGGATATTTTTTAAACTTCGCAACTAGTGTACATTGTTGATAACGAGTTAGAAAATTAAAAAAAAAAAAGAATCATACAACTGTATATTTACTTTTGACATGAAGGTTGACCTCTGCACCTTTTTTAGCTCTTTGATTAAAGTGTCTTTTGAGTTTTGGTAAATATTTACTTCCAGAGACAAAACAGTATGAAATTTGTTAATCAGATGTAATAAAAAATGCAATGAGAAAGCGGATTGTAAATACAATCCCATTCAATCACCTCCCATTTAAAATGTCACCGGCTGAGGCTGGGAAATTCGAAACGTGTGCGGTGGAAAGCAATACTGGACTCTTGTTCGGTTATGCGAACATATTTGTGCACCTGCGGGTCGATCTTTGTCATAGTCGATGATTGTGTTGTTGCTCTGGGTTGCATGCTTGTTGCCTTCGAGTGGCCGACGTCCAAGTGCACATGTCATTGCCGTTTCCATTGCCATTGCCATTGCCAGAGGGGAGTCTTCTGAGTTCCCCACATTTGTCCCGCCTCATTTTTCATCTCCCAGTTGATCTCGATGCCAAAACCACAAAAAAAAAAAAATTGCCAAGGGTTTATAGCTTTTCATTGCAGACGCCAAACTGCAATCGATAATGCACGTGTTGTTGTCGGTTTTAGTTTCCCCCACCTTCTATTTTTTACAAGTGGTATGAGTATTATTTTACAACTGTTCTATAGCAAAACAAGGAAAAAAAAACTTGAGTATCTCCACATACACGTGTTGTACTTCCATTGACAACTCGGCACATGAAAAACTTCATGCTACGCTATTTATCAAAATGCATGGTTAACTCAAACGACTAAAAATAGACGCAACAAACAACTTTCGGTTTTTAAAAATAGGTACCACTTAGCGCAGAGTTGGGAAGGTGCAATGCACTTTCCCTTAGCCAGAGATACAAATGTGAAGACATTTGTTTGATGTTCTCACATGCGTGATGGAAGGGGGGTTTCAAAAAAAGAGGCGCGTACAGGAAATGGCAAACATTTGTTTACACCGCTCCCCAGGGTTTAATAGCAAATCATTTAATTCCAAAGAATCATGATGATCTTGAGATGTGCCGAGCAGTTAATGTAGGAATTAAAATATATAAAAAGAATACTTTAATGAATTGTATAATTTCTTTTACCAACGTTTGATAGTTAATCAGATAGAGTATTATGATTAAATGACCTCCTCAATCCCCACAGTTGTCAAAGCCTTTTAAACAAACGTTATATGAAGCTATATTACCAACACCCGACCAATTTGTCAAATCATACACCCCGACAATAATTGCATTTACTACTTTTGTGTTTCACACATTTTAACTTCACTAATTGCAACAAGAAAACAAACATTTAACAAAATGTTTATCGCATTTGTTGATTTTTTACACATGTGCGTGACGCTGCCGCCAAGATAAATTGTGTTTACCTCAGGTGAGCAACATTTTCCGCTAAAATAGTTTAATCTAAGACTTAAAGAGTCAGTTATAGTTTTGGAACGCCAAGAACGCAATAGACAAAGTAGGGAAAATTCCGCTAAATATGCGCCAAACACGCAAATCACAGTTGGGGGATTGTTGGAATAGAAAAATTAGACTATGGAAAATATTTATGGGAAATGTCAAGGCTGGTTTATAAATAGAGAAGCTGGTTAGATATTCCAAGTCTCTATCAAACAAGTGATAGGGAGTTCATTGGTCAATGGCAGCCCAATTTCGCCCACTAATCCCTTCATTTAACCCACTGGGACTGACCTAAAATCCTATAAACATATTTTATGCCTCTTCAATTTTGTCAACGTGTTGTTTGCCCAACTCGTAAGCCGTTAAAACCGCCGGGGTAGCAGTTATACCCTTGCGAATGCCGCCCACAATAGACCCATCCAAGTCACCCATTATGTGGTTTTTGGTCAGAAGGGGTTTGGGGGTTGGGGTAGAAAGGCGGAAACTTTGTAATAGAAAAGTGTCGATTACGTGACAAAAATGTTCAATTGAATTTCAATGAAATTGCATGATATTCTAGAGACCTGAGCCCTGGCTCCACATCCATTTGTTGCTTCAATAATAAATGGCGGTGTGTGTGTGTGTGCTACCATGCATATTCCCCAGCGATTGATGAGGGTTCTGCACCATTGAGAAAACATTTTTGGGAAATTAACGTCAAAAGCAATTTTCTAACCAGGGAGAAATTTAAACGTTGCCCCAAAACTTCTATTGGGTTAGACAAACAGTTTGAGGAGTTAGCTGAGCTGTGCCCTCGTTAACGGCAATCTTAAATTTCGCTGCTAATTTAACGTCCAACAACAAACAAACACGACCATTTAGCTCACTTTATCGTTTTGCCATTTTTAGTTGCCAGCGGCTTTGAATAATTGTACAAACAAAATAGAAAAAATATATACATACAAAAAAAAAAAACATACACCAAAACAGGCCAAGCCTTTTGCGAAGGTTCACAACTGTTTTTCTGTGTGTGTTTCTTTTTTTGTTTTGCGTAATCGATTGCCAAAGCAAAAACACAAGCAACTGGCAAAAATTTGTCAAAGAAAACAAAATAAATACCACGTTACGCAGAAATAAATGGGAAGTCTACCGGTTAGATAGATAGTCGATACTATCAAAGTAAAAAAGCGAGAAAAATCAAGAACTACATGAGTTTTGAATGATTTTTTTGTTTAAAAGTACATTTTCAATAATAATATATTACAGGCTATGATGGTTTCATTTCGTAATTGAAATAAATTAACATCTTACATTTTTTCTCAGTACCTATTGAATGATTAGCTGATCGATCTGTCAATGGAAAGAAACTCATTTCACTTGAGCCTTTTGCATTTACGCTAAGCATTTCAATTCCTGACATTGTCGTAAATTTAACGATTTTATGTCGGCTGTAGGAAATCCTTTAACGCCTGCCAGTCGGTGCTCCTTAACCCTCGACACCCAAAGAAAAATCCCCCTCGACATTTTCAGGCATTGCGTGTGTGCAGCCAAGGTTTTTATGCTTTAGTTAACTTTCCTTTTCTCGAGGCAAATGGGAGTCGCATTGATTTTTGACATTAATTGCAAAAGGCGAAACATTTTGTTTAAGGCTGAAAGTGAATGTGCTACTCATTATTTGTGAACTTTGTGCCATTTGTTTCTAATTGATTGGTAACTGTTTTGACAGCCAGGACTTTTAGATGAGGTGGAACTAATGAGTTCCTAATGAAGTCACGGCTCTAGGAAGTCGACATTTCCTCGCCCCCTCATAGCTGCCATTTCCCAAACCCTTTGGTGAGTCATAAAATCTTGACTTTACGGCCAGACATAACCCTTTACCTGTGTGCTCACTTACATTTCGATTCACAACATCCCGGGGAAATGCTTCCGTTCTGCTCAATAAGCGGAGAGGCATAAATATACATAAATTTATGGCGAGTGTCCTCGGTGCATTTGAAAATTGCCACCGCAAAAAAAATGTGTCCAAGTGGGTCGAGCCGTAAAATGTGGCAATCTTGCCGCCACCCACCCCTTAACCCAGTGCACCTGCTCCACTCGGTGGGCGGAAGGTGTAGCCAAAATTGTTTGCTTGCCAAGAATTGCGGCTAAGCACACAGACAAATATTGGACCGCCAGCCAAATGGCCGGCTTGTATATATTTGCACATTACATTACATTACATATTCGGGCTTGGCGTTCGCCTTCGATAAATATTAATATTGAAATGCTACGAACTTCGATTTGCGGCGTCAGTTGTGACCTGTTCCACAAATTTCAATTTCTCTAAGTAAACATAAAATTGAATTACGCTCGAAAGGATTTCGGCCATCTTAACCTTTTTTTTTCTTGTTTCTTGCTGGGTGGAAATTACTAGCCATTTGTCAGTTTTGTGGCTCATTTGGCAGCTGGGAAATGGGATAACGAGATGTTTACTCGGGGATTACATTGCGATTGACTTGCCAAATCCGTTGGCAATACCTTGCATAATGCCAGTCCGATTTGATTAATCAACGCTCGTTTTCCTTATGCGACTTTAAAGCTGAGTTATGTCAAATGCAATTGAATTAATTTGTGTCTGGCATTATGAAGCTGAATTTGTGTCTACCCCGGTGACACGCAACCGCTTCACCGCTTCACCACCCACCCGAAGTTCCCCCAAAAAACCTCTGATCTATCCATCGCTGCGCGTTTGTCTTGTCACGTCATATTACCCAAACAATAGTGAACACAACAGATGGAAATGTGGGCGTTGGGCGGTAGGCGGGAGGCGGGCCGATACAATGAGACATATGGAGTCGAGTGCTCATCGCATTCCTACCAATTGCGGATGATGAGCTGGAAGTGGAGGGTTGGGTTCCGTCGACGGGTGTCCCGTTTTGGGCCGACGGCAGCAGTCAGTCAGCAACTATGACCTGATTTATCAAATAAATGGTTCGCTAGCTCGCTACGTCGCTTTGAACGGCTTGAGTGCATTCACTTTTCATTCGTTTAGCATTACACTCAGAATAAATTTTATTTTTATTCTGACTAAATTATTAAATAACACGATTCATTTATTTTAAAAAATATTTTTTCCCAGAGGCTTACAAAATGTTAAATTATAGATTATCGAATTTAATTTCATTCTATTTATGTTCTGAAGTCAATTAATACCTATAAAATCTATAATCTCTATTTAGTTTTAAGGTTTAGGTAATGAAATTCTGTGATTGACATTTATTTTCCAAGCTAAATAATATCATGGCTTCTATCGCAGCCGTAACTTTTTTGTCTCATTATTGAAAGTGTACTATAGATAATCACAAAATGTTATCTTCCAGTGCACATACACAAAGTCAAATCTCCGGCAGTCATTCCCTCGTTCATGTAATTGTAAACTAACTTTGAATCCAGAAACTTTTGCCAACTTTACCAACCAAATCAACAACATTGAAACAGGCCGCACAAAACTCACATGATTATTCATATGTAGATGTACCATGTACATAGTAGGGCACATGCGGATGAATGTAGTCTCATCATTTGATGGTTATGCGATTAAACAATGTTGTTAATTATGGGAATCCAGGCACATGTTTAACCGCTGATATACACAAGGCAAAGAAAAGTTTTACACAATCCAGTTGTTAAAGTTGAGAGTTGAAACTACCTATGTTTCTATATAGTAAGACAATCAGACGAGCCAGTGATACCCGGGAATTAATCAACTACAATAAGTACTTACGCGTCTTGGCGTAATTTCCGAGTTGACACATTGAAAGCACAGCGGACAAAAGGGGAAATTAATTAGGTTTGCGCTGTTGCAACAGTTTTACTGCATTAACCACTCACTCGCAACTCGTATCCATCGAAGCACCCACTAATGGCCCACCTAACTATAATTGACGTCTTCTGCTCCGCCGTTTGACAGGTCTGAAGAAATTTCTCGCCCAATACCCAGCAATATTTCTGGTCGACGGTGATTATGTCCAGGTCAATGCCTATCAGCACACCAATGCGGACGATGGCGGCGGCGGCGGCAAGCGCGACTACATCCAAGAGGCTAAAGACTACTTCAAGAACAAGATGCTGCAGTACGGAGCGGCTGCCGAGGTGCCCGTTCGCAGTCTGCTGGGCCACAGGTCGCAGGCATCGCCCCAAGTGCGTCACATATCGGGTGAGTCTTTAGGAATGAATATCTACAATCACGGTTGCTTTCAGTAGGCATTAGTCTTATGTATATTTAAACTACAATGTTTCTTCTCAAAGTAAAATCATATAAACAGTAACTTGGATTAGGAATTCAATTTATGAATTATGAATGTTTTAAATCTTTTTATTAAAAGAAATCTGTTCAGTATAAAAACCTTTAAAACCATAACCATAAAACCATTTCCATAAAGTAAGCATTCTAAGATTAGTTTACTTTGACTTACAAGTGGCCACCTTGATTGTACCTATATACATATGTATGTATGAGAAGAATCACCATAATCTATTCTGTTTTCCATCCAGGTCAACACATCAAAGAGTTCACAGACTTTCTGATGAAGCACACGGATACCTTCAAGGTGACGGACGACTATGTGATGCTGGTGGGCTGCGAGAACATGACGGATCTGCCGGCGCGCGATCGTCTCCATCTGCCGCAGTCGAACATCGATACGCGCGGAACGCAGCAGATGCTCGACTTCTTTGCCCAGTGCATTGAGGTGAAGGGACCGCTGTTGGTGGACCAACTGTTCCATCTGCTGACCACCAACTTTCCGCAGGATCAGTGGCTGCGCATGTTCAAGACGCCGGGCGATCTGAGCTCGTTCCTCAAGCTCTTTGCGGACTGCTTTCACATACAGGCCAATCTAGTCACCCTGCTGCAAAAGCCCAAGCTCAGCGATACGCACATCCAGCAGGCTCAGGCTCAAACACGGGAGCAATTCAATGCGCTGAACAATAACAACAGTGCCAGCATTCGGAAGCAGGAATCCGGTGTCGGATGTGGAGGTGGTGGCGGTGGAGGTGGAGGCGGCGGAGTTGGAGGTGTCAGCTCAGTGCAGCAGAGATTGCAATCGCCGGCTCTGCGGAGCAATGGTCACACGAACAACAACAACAATGGGAGCAATGCCAATGGCAATGGCAATGGCAATAATAACAATAATAGCATAGCTTGCCCGAACTTCAAGCTGAATGCCCCCGTTTCGAATGTGATGGGTGGCCAGAGCCAAAGTCAGGGCTTCGGGCAGCCCAAATCGGAGCCAAGTTCTGGCTTCGACAGCTATGTGCCCATGTCGGAGCTAAAACTAGAGAATCTGTGCGAGAACAACTATCCCAGTGCGAATACATGCTACGGGCCCATTAATAACTCCGCACAGCAGCAACAACAGACGCAGCAGACGCAGCAGCCGCAGCAAACGGTACAGAATCCGGCGGAGCAGCGTTTGAATAGTGTTAACCAAACCCTCAAGCAACGCATCAACACTTTAGTTATACGGACACTAGCCGAGAATTTGGAGAAGGATAAGCAAACGCTGGCCAACCAGCAAGGCGGGCCAACTTCACCGCACGCCAGTCCCGTGCATTCCATTGCCAATTCGAGTTCTAACCAAAATGCCAGTGCTGCAAGTAACGTCAACAGCAACTCGAATTCGAATTCGAATTCAAATTCGAATCAAAACAATGCCAACCACTCACCTAGTCATAGCTACTTTGTCGGCGACACCTGGAAGATAAAGGTCCTGCAGAACACCACGGTGATAGCGAATGTCAAGCAATCGGTGTTTGTTACCGACATTATACTCAAGTATGCGGCCAAGAACGAGAACATAGTGGTCTCCCTCGACTGCGAGGGCATCAATCTGGGTCTGAAGGGGGAGATAACATTGATTGAGATTGGAACGACGCGTGGCGAAGCCTTTTTGTTCGATGTGCAATCCTGCCCGGCGATGGTCACCGATGGCGGACTGAAGACCGTGCTGGAGCACGACCAGGTGATCAAGGTGATACACGACTGCCGCAACGATGCGGCCAATTTGTATCTGCAATTTGGCATCCTGCTGCGCAATGTGTTCGACACACAGGCCGCACATGCGATATTGCAGTATCAGGAGAGCGGCAAGCAGGTCTACAAGGCCAAGTACATATCGCTTAACTCGCTGTGCGAACAGTATAACGCCCCCTGCAATCCCATCAAGGATCAGCTGAAGCAGATCTACCGACGGGATCAGAAGTTCTGGGCCAAGCGACCACTCACGCGGGAAATGATGCTGTATGCAGCGGGCGATGTCCTGGTCCTGATACACGACCAGTTGTTTGGCAATCTGGCGCGCCAGATCAAAACGGAGAACAGGACACTCTTCTCGGAGCTGTGCACCGAGCAAATACTCATGCAGATCAAGCCCAACGAGGTGAAGATACGCAAGAAGCAGCGCAAGGTCAGCACCGAGGTGTCCGATCTCAAGCAGAAGTTGGCCCAAACCAGCAAAAGCATTGTGCTCTCCAATCGCGAGATACGCCTGCTGCGGTAAGTAATAAACTCGATTTTTAACTAAATGATAGGTCTAATCTATGTATAACCCATAGCTACATGGACCTCACAGAGGATGAAAAGGAGCGCCTGAAGGGCTACTACAAGGTGGCCAAGAAGCTGGAGAAAATGGAGTCCGCCGGCAATCCCAACAAGTGGGTTAATACAATGACAATATCTCAATGTCGTACTTAAAACTTTATCTATACCCACAGAGACCAAAGTGATTCGGAGGATGAGCCAGAGCCAAATGAGAATGACACGTTTCCCAGCTTGGACTCGGTGCCCTCGGACAATTCGCTGTCGGGCACTTTTTCGCCACGCTTCAGCTCAGAGCCACCAAGTCTGACTGAGTCCATGCAAATGCTGGAGGAGATTCTCCAGAACAAGTCCATGGATCGCATAGCACGTATTGATAAGCTGGAGGCCATTCTGACCACTGCCACCTCGCTGCCATGTGAACAAGTAAGTGATTCAGAAAGCTAGTTACAATTCAGATAGATTAATGGTTTTATCCATCCATAGATTATATCTTCAAATTCGATGCAAGAGCAATTGGGATCGAGCATTGCGACCACCGAGAATCTGCAAATTATACGCGAGAAATCCAGAAAGTAAGTGACTAATTTTACCGAAAGCAAATGGATGTTAACTATGAAATTGCCTTACTTACAGCATTAAGAACTGCAATTGCCAGGGCGAGCGCAGTGTGACGCCCGTTCTGCGAACGACTGACAAGCGATTGGTGAAGCTGGTGGATGCCGAATCGCAGACGCTGAGCACCGGCGACGTGGTCATCACCAAGATATTCTTCCAGGACGAGCATGAGCGTGCCAAGGAGGCAGCCTTGCTGAGCAACTCGCCCACGAAGCGAGTGTCTCCCATATAAACATTTAATCGTTTAAACATTTAAACATTTGAACCTTCGAACAATGATTCCTAACAAGCAAAGCGCAGACATATTACGTATTATTATTTTGTTTTTTAATAGTTGAGGCGTTCCGCACTGGACCTCTCGACACTCTATCGATTATGCAATAACTTTCATACCCAATTGAAAAAGCAATATATATTTTGTGCCTAGATGTTGAACATTGCAATAACAATAATATATGATTTATCAATTGTTAAACAACTCGCCTCCGGCTCGGATCTTTTTATATAACAACCGACAAACGTTGGCGACGCAATCTAACCGAATCCCACTTCTCAGTAAAGGCATTTGCCACTGAGAAGCTGTGCGGAATTCGATGAGGTTAACGACTTACGAGCTGCGCCAAACAATCATTAAAAATGTATCTGTTAATTGATTTGTAGACTATTTTGCTATTGATTGTAAATTAAATCTGCGTTGGACCAATGTGTATTAAATCCAAATGAAATTATTAAATGCAGTTTCCCTAGAGGTTTCCTAATATCTTTGTCGCCATATCAGAAGTGAACTTATTGTATTTTAACCATAATACTTTATAAACCGAAACGATTATTCAACTCAATTTAAGTTTAACCAAACAATCTTCTTAATTATTAATAACAAATTGTGTAGTCAATCTAAGTAAATGAGAATTAATTGTAATGGAAAGAATACTGAAATGGTACGATTATAAATTATATATCTAATTGAATAAAACGTGTATATACCTATAAAAACCAGACAGATGGCAATTTAACACTTATTACCAGAAATTAGAGGATTTTGTTTTCTTTTTGGATTCCTTTATTAGACACCAAACACCAAGAGGTTAAAAACATTTATAATTGTATGTGTTTATATAGCATGTTAATAAAGCGGGAGATTAAGCTCTCCAAAGAGCAGTCCGAAAGTGTTGTGTATCGCAGTTAGCCTGATCTATCTCATAGAACAAGTTTTTTTTTATAAATGGTAAGTTAACATTTTTTTTAAGATGGGAATATTCTGGTGCAAATTGTTTCACCGTGTAGTCAATTTAACTTTTTATTTGTCAAGCATTTTGATTTTTAGACTGGTGCTCTCTGGTTGATTGCAGTCAACTGTGTAACCTTTTATTACGAATCTTATTCAAGCATTAACTTTAGACATCAAAAGACGACGGATACAATATTTCCATTTGGGAATATTTTAATTAAAGGTTGCATGCACATAAGTTGCTTATGAAGTTTATGCTTTTTTATTCCTATGCTTATTCAATAAGGAGCTAATACTCTAAAATATCTTTTGACGGAGTACAGTCAACACTAAAATATGCCTTCAAATGTATTTCTTGCTTTCCTCTGCAATTGCATTGCCCTATTTTAAATTCGTTTATTTTTCTCTTTCAACAGCCTTTTTTGAGCTTTTATTACTAAATAATATGCATTTCTTATTCAAATAGTTTTCACCTACAAGTTACACCAGGCGTTCCATTTATGCAAGAACATTTTAAGTGAAATTCTTTAAGCGGAAATATTATGCCTAAGCCAAATATATATACTCGTTCTATGTACTTAATTATTTGCAAAGGAATACACTTGCCTGTATATATATTCGGTAAAATCACATCTTTGAATTGCCACAGCTCGTTAGTCTTATGTACAATTGGACCTAACTCGCTTGATTGGCCTGTGAACAACTGGAGGTTGTACGAAGCATTCAAATCGTACTTAATTGTATTTGATTTAAAGAAACCGGTGGCTGGCTTTGTGTTTAATTTTTACACTCGCTGTCTTAGTTTTAGAAATTTAATATTGCTTAAATATTATAAACAGTTCAAGACGATCTCAGTGTATTTGGATTTTGACTAATTCTTTTTACTCATAAAGTTAGCATTTTTCAATTAAATCAGGTCGTTATTTTATTGAACATTTTGCTTAATACTAAAGTTGTTGTCTGTATAGACTTTCACTTAAATACTTCGTTTGGATTCCGTGCGAAACCTGCATCTCGACAAAAATGTCTAATATATCTATGTTACATAAATGCAAAAAGGTACTTCAAAAAGCAATTGTATTGGTTTATATTAATAATAAATGTACCTTTGCTTAACAAATCTTACAACTTGAAAGTGGAAAATGAGCAAAGAAAGATTAAGGAAGCTTAAAGATATAGAGTTGTAAAGCTTAAGTTCATTATTCATTTCAGACAATTTGGATAGTTGCAAAAAATACCCTATCCTGAAGTAAATATATTTTTAAATTCTTATATTAGCAAAATTTGTGATTAAATTCTTAGTTCAGTTTTTTGTTTATTTATTTGAAATATGAATAATTTCTGGGTTATATCACCCAATATTTGTGTCGTTTCCTGTATCTAGGACATTGAATGTCTTTAATTTTTAGATGCGATAACACATTACAGTCACTGGATTATTTGATTTTAAATGCTAGAAAAATAGACATTTATATTTATTATCTCTCCATCAAAAGCTCGAAGATTTAATTCACCGATTTTGTCTTTCAAAAACTAACTAAACATAAAGAAAACAATTATAGTTTAAGAGAAATCAAAGATTAACTTAAAGTAACATCAAGGGCAAAAGAAAACCAAAGTCGATTTAATTAAAATAAAAATTTTATTTATTTTGCTAAAATAATTAAACAAAACATAATACATATGTACAGTGATTATTGCTTGCACATTCACGAAAAGGAAACAGACAGAAAGTTTTGTTTTTGAGTTCAGCTTAATTTAACAATTATGTTTTTCATTTTTGGATTGTGGCTGTTTGTATACGTGATTAAATTGCGTGTTGGCTAACCATAGACACAGACTATTGTTAATTGTTAATTGAGTAGTAAACGTTTCACATGAATTTAATGGACACTGATATTGAATGACTATTAACTGCTGCTTATTTAAGCTTAGCACATGTATTGACATCGAAAAGCAAACGTTTATCTCTCTCATTTCACAAATTGTATTAAACTCGGGGTTTTTGTATTTAATTCCTGCCTTTTCAGATCCTACTGATTTCGTATCCGTTTCCGTTTTTTCGCTGAATTTTTTATGCACTCTCAAAATAACAAAATGTTTTATGCATGTATGTTGTGTATTGTGTAATATGTGTGGGTGTAGTTGAGTGGTTTTTGTTGGGTTCGTGTATGTGGGTGTGTAATATATACGTATGTTTATTCACTTAATGAGATCAAGTCATATAGCGCATTATCTCGCGCAGAGCATAGAGTAACTCGGCCTGATTGCGGGCTTCCATTATCATTAGATTCACATGAACCTGTTGGCCAGATATCAGATAATAGCGATTAATGTTTGTATACAAACAAAACGTGAAAAAATCCACTCACCTTTTCACTGTCCTGCAGCTCGACCAGCACACTATCATAATCCTTGGTTGTAATACGCTCGGGAAAGCAACAGGCTGTCTTAATAAACATTTTCAAAGGACGCACAAGGAGCTGAAAAACATTAAAAATTCCGGATATGTTCAATAAATTTGTCCCAGAAATTCAAATTTCAATTAATCGAATAGTCATAGTGTCAACAAAAAAAAAACTTCGTTAAAATATCTGAAACTATTTAATAAAAATGTTATTCTGGCACATTGAATAACATTTATATTGTTATAAAGTCAAATTAGCATTATTTTCATCAACATTGGTGCAATTTATTCTTTTTAAATCTTTTTAAAACCTGAACAAAAACAAACTACAAAATGAAGACTTTTCTGCCAAATTCGGCTCATGAAAATGATCTTCTATCATTATTGTCTAGAGTTAATTAAACCTTATACCAGTTTTAAGTACTTATCTTACCTGATTCACTTCACCATAATCGTAGTCATCGTGACGAATGCCATAGATGCACTGGATATAGTTCCAAATAGCCCGACGAAACTTGGAAGTGTCCACATTCTTGATGCCGCCCATGGTGCAATAGGTCAGATTGTAGGCGGCCCGAAACTTGGCATCCAAAAAGGTGCCCACATCGTTGTACAGCCTGGCATGAAATGAACATCCTCTCTTTAGCGAAAATTGACATAATCAAAGAGCTATCACTCACCCGTCCACCAGCGAGTAGCCGTGATCCTCCCAGGAGTAGTCCTGTATGCGAAATGTGTTGATGTTTTCGGTGCCGCGGCGGGCAAAGTCCTGGTAAATGAAGTTTGCATCGTCCACGTAATGCGACAGATTTGTTGGCACGCCCACAGCCGCCTCCGGAGTCACGGCGGCCAGCTCGGCGGTCTGCTGCTCGACTTTCTGGAAGCGACTGCTCAGCTCGGCCTCGCTGCACTCGTCCTGTTTCTGGGACAGGACCTTCATGCGTTCCATCAGCGTCTCCACGCTGATTCCGTGCTGCTGCGGCAACTGCTGGGCCGTGGCTGTAATTACAGATCAATTAGTCGGGAATTAAAAAAAAAATATTATTTATTGGATTGCTTTTGAGTGCAGTCACCACTTGTGAATTTAATTTTAAATGGAAATTGATAAAGAATTCAATTTAAAAATTCTTTATCAATATGTTATGCTTGCATTTTATCATCAAACACAAGACTGCGGCATACAAATTTTATTATATTAATTTAAAAATAAAATTTTAGTTTAATTGTCTTACTTATCTCAACATTCTTAAAGTTCTAGATTTTAAATATCGAATCGTACCACTAAGCTTTATATAATATCATATTATATTGTATCAAAATATTGAAAAACATCAACCTCAAACCCGAAAAATGACCAAGATAATTCCAATTTATCAGCATATATAAGCGTATACCAACCACTTATTTCAACTTTTCAGCTTGCTTGCAACAACTGGCAGTCAGTCACTTACCCAAATATCCGTTGAGGGCCGTAGCATCGGATCCACCTCCGGGCGCATTTCCAGAGCCGGACTCTGCTCCTCCATTGTTGCTCGCTGCGGTTTGGCTATTGTAATCCGGCTTTGCATTGTTGAGCGAGATCTCCGCCAGTACGGTTTTCTGCGGGTCCGACGGCGTGCTGGGGGAAATGGTGATGGTGGGGTTGCTGCTGGCGCTCGGGTGGCACAGGATTGCCGGCTCATGGGGCGCAACCACCGCCGGCGGACTCTTCAATTTGGGACTAGACAGCCCGTCCAGCTTTTGGGTGAGGCCGCAGGAAAACACAAAGGAGGATAGCGAGTGGAAATGCGATAGCAGGACCATGGCGTGCACCACCTCCGACAGCGACCAGCTATTCTTTCCCTTCGTGAGTCGCTGAAAAATCATAAAACTTTCATTGCTCCCTCTTTCGGTTGCCCAAAAAATGAAAAATGCACCCACCTCGATGTGCTCCTTGCGCAGCAGCCACGGACGATGGGCTAATATTTTATTGATATCGTATATGGCACGTAGTTTGGCGGGTATAAAGTCCAGGCCGTCCAGCCAGGCGCTGTCTCCTCCCTGGTTGATGAACTCCTTCTCGTACCGCTTCACCAGATACGGACACTGGTGCCGAGCAGCTGCCTGGGGTATTAAAAAAGAAGTGAGGATGTGAGCACACAGATAAAATCCTTCCTTATTTCGAAATGCCATTTCGTTTGAATATAGTTGCCCGTTTTTGAACAGGATTAGCCGCAACAAATTAAAAACCTCTTCCCTTTTCTTCGAAAAGAATTTCATAAGGAAAAGTTTTGCAGTTCTTCATTTAACCCTTTCCGGTGGATGTTGATAAAGCTTAGTTCAAATGAAGTTTGAAAGCAAGAAACCATTAGCAAAGTACTTGGATGCTTAATTAATAATTTCTTGAATATTATGAAAGTCGTTAAAAGGTTTCGAAAGTTCTGAGTTTTGGAATGTACAAATTTTAAATAAACTCCCAAATTCTTTTAATTTGAAACTGAAATTCCCAATCGATGACCAATGTGGCTTAACTATTTTTTTTTTTTGCTGCGAGGGAAGACGATCGGGCCCAGTTAACATTTTTCTAGGCATTACGTAATTTGTTTTGATCTTCTAACCTTGGCCCCCTGCACCCAGCCTCAACCCCCCCGCAGCCCCCGCATTTGGTGGTGTGAGTTCGGCTGACCCACAATCGAAAATCTCCCAGGGTGCGGGACCTGGGAGAGATTGACTTCAACTATGCCACCACCTGAATGTGTGCTAAAAATATGTGAAAACTTATTTTGATCGCGGTGCGTTGCGTGTGTGTGTGTGTGTGTGTGTGTGTGTCGGTATGTTTGTGACCCAAAACAACAAATACTTGGGCATTGAGAGCAAAAGGCCCATTGTTTGTCTTGCGTTTTGCCTATGCTTTTTTTCTGTATTATTTTGTTGTTTGTCATTAATGAGACTTGGGCAGGCAGGCAGGCAGGCAGAATCATGGCATCGTGGCATGCCCTGACATGCCATCGTAAATCTTAAATAATTTTACATTCGCCGAGGCCCGAATCTAGACAAAGGCGTTGAGAGAATCTGCGTCGTTCTATAGGCGACACTTGGGTGCACTATTCCTTCCCCGAAAACAAAATACCGAAAAAGCATCTCAATCTAACGTGGAAAACGCAAATTGTTCCCAATTTTCTGACATGAATTAATATTATATGTTTATTATTCACCGCATAGAATGCGGAGTGCCAAAGACCCTCGACCGACATGTCAACTACGAACAGCAAATACATATAGTTTTTATTGGGTTTACGACTATTGCACACGCACAACAAAGGCCATAAATTATATTTAGGGGGCCAAGAAGCAAACTCATTTTGTCCAAATAACCCAGAACGACAATTGGGAAAACTTGTGAAATAATTAATTAATGCGATTTCAGTATTCTGGCTTTTGGATTCTCAACTGCATCTTGGAAAAGCTAACATTGAATGAATGTATCTAGTAGATATCATAAATCAATTTTAATTACGCATTTACTCTCCAACTTTATTTTATTATCATCTTTATTAGGGCTCTTAATTTCTTTATTATTGTGAGACTGAAATTTTTAGAAACTGAACTCAATCAGAGTCATTACACTTTTAAAGCCAACAACATTTTTCGCTCTAAAAATTCACTTTTTTGTTTATCTGTGGATATATAATTTAATATATTTTAAAATTTAAAAAAGTTTTCCAAATTATATAAAAGATTTCCAAATAAACCTTTTAAATTTTTGTATATCTCAAATTTTAAAAGATTTTAAATTAATAAATTAATAATTAATAATAAATAAAGATTTAATTAATAACCAATCTTTGATATATAACCTTTTATAATGTAGGGTGTAATATAATTTTACATTGTTGCAGTTGTACAAAGTACTTTTACTCTATTACTCTTTTGCTTATGATTTTTCGTTTAACTGTAATATCCCGCCACAGAGATTATAATTCGGGATGAAAACGCAAACCATTATCGAAATGCCGAAGATATTAAGCTGCCGCTTTGAGTGAGGTAGCTTAATTTAATGCAGGGCGACCTCGCATGTACAGTAGTATTGCAGTTCTATGGCAGAAGGGTGCCTGATACCCAGGTTTGAATTTTCCCTTAAAGCCTAATGATTTGCCAACGAGGAGGGAGTGATACGCATTGCATGCCATGAAATTGATAAGCCTCTGCAACGTTCATTGGGTTCCGCTTTATGCCGCTATCTCCCCAAATGAGGGTGGTGCACCCATGTCCAGGTGGATTTGATTTCCGCCAAAACGCATCATTCGGGCCTATGATTCTGTATACAGGATTTACGGTACGTGCTGTGCATAGATTTCCTAACAAAAGTTCAGTCTAACAATGCAAAATTCGCTTCATCACCACTGGATTTTCTATTCAGGTACAGCAGGTAAAGCTTTCTATTGGACCAATCAACGGCTATTGTTCTATGCTCGCTTGCCAACAACGTAAATTCAATAACAGGGATTCTGGTTTTCATAAAAACTATAACTAATTACATTACTCACAATTATGGCCAAATAGTATCTGTAGTCATTGGGCAGCGGTCCGTCTCCTTTCATAATGAAATTCTGGGTGCGCAGAAAGTGATCGTGGAACTGGGGATGGTAGCCAATCACCTGGGTGACTTGATCCAAATCATCCAGCTCATCCATTTCTAGGTCAGATTTTCCGGTTTTCATTGCATCGAAACACTGAAAACGAATATTAATTAATAGTTACACGTTATAGTAACTTAATAAATATTTAAGTAGGAAATTTCTAAATATTTCAAAACTTAATTATTGGTTATAATTGGATCTTGTGGTTCATAAGACTTTTCAAATTCTTTCAAAAATCAAAACATTTTATTTGGCAAAAACTTTCATTCTTTCTTTTAAAATTAAAACGTCATAAAACGAATAACATGAAAAAAAAAACGCATTTTATGTTTGTTTAAAGTTATTTACTTTCTTTGTAATAAAATCTTTGCAACTGAAAATTCCACAAACGTATTGCGTATACGAGATGTGGTCCATGCCAATTGTCACAACTGAATGAAGCAAAGCATGTGTAAACGAAATTCCGTGCGTAAAATTTTCAAAACTAATTCCCTGTTCGAGACAGAAAATTGTGAGAACGAGAATCAGAATGGTGTGCATGACTTGGCTTTTATGCCGCTGGCAGAGTTCTCTTTTCCCCAAAATTCCGAATTGAAGTCCCGGTCTTTGTCAGGCAGCACGTATACGTCCAGATGACATGAACATAGATTCTGCATATTTTTCCCTCTCAGAAACAGGCGTGCCTTATTGCGCCTGAAATGGAAGTCCAAAGAGAAACGAGCAGGAAGGCAATTGTTCGCATAATGAAATGAGGAATTTAATAAAATTTAACTAAAGAGTGAAGGAAAATTGCGTGTTGTTGAAGCTTCACTTGATTTCCGACACTCATTGTTGTACGTCAAAGGCCGATTGCCATAGCAGCCAACCCCTTATCAATAGCCAGTTGTCTTGCAATCAGGAGATTCAACAGCTGCAGGTGCACAAGACATTTTGCAAAGCACTTGTGAAGCCCTAAGCTCACCAAAGCCGATTTTCTTTTACATTCACTAATTGCCAGGCATTTTCTTATTGCACATGATTCACAAAGGTATCAACTACTAATAACAACTCGTATTTATAGTTTCAGTTTTTACCAATGTGTGTGCGCTTATAATTTGCTGATAACAGCAGATTTTCCTGGACGCAATGAGTTGGCTGTCCAGCGTGTCGTATACTTGATGTGCTTGATATGGCACAAAAAGCGATGGAGAAGCTAAGAAAAGCCGACTAAAAAGGTAACTTAATATACATGCATAATTGCCTGCTGGCAAGTCCCAGTAAACAGCCCCAGACCCGATATTCAATGCTAACCATTAATATCAGGTTTAGCTTCAACCTTAGACTCCACCCACCTATAAAACACCAACTATGGGCAGCGATGAGCTCTTGAATTCCAAGTGGGATGCACCCACGCCTACAAATATGCGTGCTAATTTCATATTTAATCAGATAACTGAACGATTTACTCCGTTCGTCGTTAAATCATTAAATTCCCCCAACGAAATGCCATCACTTTCACATAATTAATTAATTCTAATGTCCAAGATGTGTCTCTTGGTAGCTGCCACTTTGGGACATAACAAATGTCGAACAACGCATAAACAAGAGTAGCGCTATTAATCAATGTGATTTATGCGTATGCAGATCGACAAACTAAAACGTTGTACCCCTAAATCTTGCTGCCAAACTCTAAAACTGGCCGGTTACACTTGCTAATTAAAAGGGTGAGTCGCAGTGATATGCAAATGGCGGTGTGTTGACATTTTCATCATTATGGGTTCTCGTTGGGAATCCATAAATATACAAATTGGCACACTCACACTCACACTCACACCCACACCCACGCAGGGGCAGCGAAAGAGATGGGGAAACCCGTTTGGAAAATAAAAACTAGTTTCTGTGACATACAGCACACGACGACCCAATCCAGTCCGGGCAGCAGCTTTGAACGGTGCTTAGGCCAAGTTTAATGGGCATGTACACTTATAGTGCATATCCATATCTAAGCCTCCATATGGGTATAGGTGTGTTACTGTGTGTTTCTGAGTGTTTTTGTGTGAGTGTGTGTGCCGGCAAAGTAACATTGGCACGAAGCTTTTCACTGTTTTCTGGCTTTCCTTTTCCCCTTTCTATCTCCACTACCCATTCGTTGGTAAAACCTGTTCGTCTGCCATGGCGTATACGTGATAAGTGAATCGTACTTCCAATGCATGTGGGTGCATTTCCAAAAACCACCCACTTTGTAAGCTTTTAGGTTTATTAATCAAAGCACTCGACACCAAGGCTTGGTTATGTTCCTGTTTTAATTTGATTAACACTTTAATCTACTAACACTTATCATCATATGTATATGAAATGCTCAATGCTTAATTGAAATAAAATATATCTGAATAATAACGATTCAACAATGTATGCTTTAGCAATAATTTATTTTTGGAGACTTAAGTTTTAGTTGGTATTATTTTGTGTCTTAGGTTTATTACTTTAAAATATTTATATAAAAACGTATAACAATTAATACAAAATGTATGGATAAATAAACTGTAGAAAATATCTAAGCCTTTAGCTTATTTTAATTTGCTTAAAAACACAAATGCGCCCCATTTTGCAATCGGCTAATAATATACAAAAATATTTATATGTTGTGTAACGCAGACCCCTAAACGGTTTTATAAAAAAATGGCTCAGTTACCTTAACAAATTTTAATTTTATTTAAACAGAAAAACTGAAATTGCGACGGAAAACAATTTTATTGATAACTAAAATACAAGAATATTTCCTGTGACTGATAATGGGGTCGTTTTAACCCATTGAAGAGCAAAACTGAGGCCAGTGTCCGCAATCAATCTGCTGCCGAGCGAAGACTTTCCGCGCCAACTGTTAACGTGCGAGATCATGGAGCGTGGCGATTAAAATCAAAGATAATGTAGAACCGCCGAATGCTAATGTTTGCAGTGGGGCGTGAGAAGTAGGAGGCGGGAGCGGAGGCGGGGGCGGAGGTGTGCGAAGTGTTCACCGTACGGTGGAACTGGCAATTTGTATCTGCCGGATGCACGAACGACGCAACTTTTTACGCTCTTCGGCTTATGTTAATTACGGGCAATTAATTGTTGTAAGCTAATTTTGATTTCCTTTTGGCGAAAAAACGGCAGCGCAAACTAAGCCAAATTAATAAATTAGCATAATTAGCGGCGGGAATAACAATAAATTAACTGTAATTTCAACTCCGCCCCAAATGACTCTGGAAATTCATTGTCTTTCTGTGGCTCACAAGCGCGGTGAGTGTCAACACGGCCCCCAAACAGATTAAAACAAAAGCTGGTAAACAGGCAAATAAATTAGCATAAATGGTAGAATGCTAGCGAGGGAGACACCTATATGGCAGAGAAAGGGGGAGAGAACGAGAGAGAAAGAAAGGGCGAGAGAGAGAGAGAGTGGACTCCAAACAATAAGCAAGTAAACAAGTAAAGTGGAAAAAACGTCAGGTGTTATAGAAATGCAAACTGAAAACAACGACGGCAAACAAAATCTATGAAAATGCGAAACGTGAAATAAAACAATAAAGCAAGCAAATAAGCGCGATAAAAAATTAAGTAATGAAAATAGTATGCACGCTTTCCGAAATGAATGTATGTTTGTTTAATGGAAGTCCAAGTAAAACCAATTTTAAAGAAATTAGTTAAAAAGTTTCTAAAACCTAAAAGACAAGAACATCTAAACAAAATATTTTAAAGCCTAAAATAACCTTAAAAAATAATAAATATTTTAAAATATACAAATTAAGTATACAAACATCTAGGTTTTGTTAAGAAAACAAACCTTGTTAAAAGTAAAACATAAATTGAAATGTATCAAAATTAAAAGCGTTTTAAAATATTACGCGTTAGGATTAACTCACACTTCGCAAGCTAATTATGAGAAGTGCAATTGAAAACTAATGTAAGTTAAAGCTTTAAGATAAAAAGATTTCTCACTTTTAATTTGCATAACTCGTTAATTATTTCATAAAGAAATACAAAAGTAAAATATATGTAAGAAAACTAGTTTCTAATTTAAACACTTATGATTATTTACAGCTACAAATAGCTTGTCTTTTAATAAACTACTTTGAGTAAATATATAAAATTAATCGGTATAGGTATATTCTTCCCCTTGGCGACCAAATCGGACTATAGCCAGGGCTTATCACTGCCGTTCACCTGAGCACTTTATTCATGTGTTTTTAGTGACTCGAGGGCTACTTACTCATATATGTACTCACCCGACACAAAAATTAAAATAAAAATAAAAAACTAAGTGCTTGGTTGTGTGCGTAGATAAAGAGACTTGTCTAGACGTGATAAACTATTTTTTTCTATAGTTCGTAACATATACATATGAGTACATTTCGTATGCATGAGTGTATAAATGCATCTGTTAAAACGTGCCCCTAAGTGTAATATTATTTTTTTTCAATTTGCATATATCGCGGGGCTTATTTATTAAATCCAACAAATGGAAGAAAAACTATCAATAACATCATCTGGTAAATTGTGTGGTGTTAAGCTCTGATTCTTTTTACTTAAATGTAACAGTTTGTTGTAAATGATTTGCTTTTCTATAAGCTTTAATACTTCAAAAAAATTTGCACAAATTGTTCATTTTGTGAAGAACAGTAAAATTAAATCATAAAACTACAATTGCCCTACAAACATAACATAAATCATCTTAAATATGAAAGCACATAAACAATAATAAACCACATCTTATTAATTAACACAGTAATTAATATAGGCAATTGCCTCAAAGTAATAAAGCCAATTTAGCATGTGATATATACATGAAAAGAAATTCACTGTGCGTTTTGCCTTCACAAAATCTCTTGTTTACCAACGATTGTTAATATGTAACATATTTAAATCGGTAGGTGAGTGTGCGTGTTTTTCTTGGTTTGTGTGGGTGGGCGGTACGTGTTTTTCCAACCTCGGATACCTAAATAAAAGCTGTCTGGCACTCGAAGCGACACTTTGTCTGCTGATAAAGTGCAACAACACAGCCAACAGCTCGGCAACTGGCAAATGGCAAATGGCAAACAATCATGACAAAGTGTGGCAAATTATTAGGTCTACACCAACGTCTGTAATATATATCCACATGCACGCGTGTGTACGCATTAAGTGTCTGCAAATTGTGTCTTTGTGTACATTACTTCTATATATAGTGTACACTGCCTTCGGAAGATAACGCTCTTTGATAAGAGACCTCTTTGAACAATGCAAATCGCAGTAAGGAACGATAAACTGACAAATGCAGCAGTTAACATACGAGAAATGGGTTAATGAACTCACAAGCACTATTTTTAAAAATTTAGATATCGCTATTTTTAAATCTTTTATTATAGCGAATATTTGGTTGGCATTTATAAACTTGTGTATTAAGGAACTCTCTCTAAGTGCACTGTAAAAATTTGTATAAGATGAAATAAATGTTTAAAGTAATAATTAGTAACACATTAATTGTAAAAAGTGTAGATTACAGTAAAAATTAAATTTTGAGTTACGTTATATGTCTGCTTTGCTTTAAAAATTTTAAATTTGAGCATATTCAATTAAATTTAATTACTTCTGAATTTAATTGAAGTGTGTTTTTGTGTGTTTTAAATAAACATTGCGAAACTGATTTATTTATTTTGTGATGGCTATGATTCTACTAAAATGTATTTTAGCAATTTATTTTAATGTTTTGCATTCGACTTTCGTGACTTCCGCTATTAAAATTGAGACAAATCATGAACACTTGCCGAACTGGGTGCCACCAAAGTGCATTTCTGCATTTGTGCTTCTGATTCAAATCAAATCGCGCCATTCATTCAGTCCCTCAATCACTCAATCAGTCACTTTTGCCACTTAGCCAAAGGCGAAAGCCTTTTTGGACTCCTGCCAGAGTGCGAATGGCGCACATCTGTTTATTTTGATTCTGCTCTCATGCCACTGTGACTGACTGAGTGACTGGCACAGGCACAACCCACAACCCACAACCAACCACCCACATACCACCCCCACCGCCCAAAAAAACACCCAGCGAATTCACCGACCCCTTCCCCCCTCCCTTTCATCACCCGCGTTCAGTATTTTTATACAATTTATATTTTCATTGCGTAAATAAAATTCTTTGCCTGCCGCAGATGGCTGATGGCCGCTGGCTGTTGATGTTCTTTGTCATTGAGTATCGGGGAATGATAATTAAAATTACTTTTTACTTTGATTTAACTGCAGCTGCATTGTCAAAACAAATTAAAGTACAACTGTAACGAAAGATATATCCACCTTTCGTACACTTTTTTTTATGTTATACTTTTATTAATATCCTATAACAAGAACAATTATTACTTACTTATATTTATATTAAATTTAAATTTATATTTAAAAAAAAATTAATAAATTAACGAATTCGAGCTGTGTATTATTCGTCTTAATTGCCACATATAAAAACTACTTTTTTTATGGTTCATTATACAAACAAATAACAAAATGATAAACACTACGCCATAAAATGGATAGTCCCTTTTAAATATTTAATTAATAGCCATAAAACCCTTATTAATTTTTAATTTATTACAAGGTTAACCGATAATTTTACTAACTAATTAATATAAATGCAATTACTTAACTACTTTGTATTGATATCTAAAGAAAAATCAATTACTTTATTTCAATTATTTGCAACAAAGTATTGGGTGATTTTTACACTCATTGTTGTTTAACATACACAACTACCTTCATATACATGCTAATAATATATTATACCGCATTAGATTAACTCAAACATCTGGCAGTCATTTTACAATGGTCGCTGATGATATTAGAAAACAACAACATCTGTGGCTCATTGTTTGTGCGCCTAATCAATTATTCCCACATTTTTTGTTCTTTTTCCACTATACTCTAATTTAATTAATTTCAAGTCGCAATTACTGGACATTTGCATCAATTTGCTGATTAGCTGACCCAGTTTAGCAATCATATTCGCAATGAAAATAAAATACCAGAGTCGCAAGCTTTTGTGTTATCTATTTTATAGCTCTGGCTGGCTCTACATCTAACCATAAGAGAAAAATAAAAACAAAAAAAGGGGTACAACAAATATTCCATGCTGTCTGGGCTTATCAAAGGTTTAAAAAAAATTACACATTCCTTCCCCGCACACAAACTGTTAAAAAAATTGCGCATATAAAAAGTTTGTAGTTTGGTTAAAATTTTTTTTCCAAACTCAACCGCGTTACTATTTGCTGTTTCTCGCTGCATCATATGTAAGCCACAAACTTTTGTACCGAATTTTTTAAACAAACATTTTTATTGCACGGTTAGAACATGCAAATTTTGTTTCTTGTTTTGAATAACATTCCGTAGTCGAGTTATTTTCTCCCCCAGCACTCTTTCATATTTACAGTGCGGTTTTAAGTTTATTTGTTCCGGAAAAGTTAATTATGTTGTCCAGGAAAATAATTGCTTACGCACATATATCAGACTTCAACGTTGGGAAACAAATAAGGCAACCATTGTTTGCATTCCATGTGCATTTCAGCTTTGGTAAATATCTCAGTTGGATAAAACCGAAACGTCAGAACGCATACACATAATTACATTTTTATTTTGGGAAAATAATAATATTTTTACCCATTGTAATGTTTAATTAATCATTTAATTAAATAGTTTCAGAAACTCACTCAATGTGCAGCAACATGTTGTGACCACACTTGTTTTCCTACTTGATGTCAAATGCGTAAACAAGCATATAAAACGGAGTGCCTTATGAAAGTTATGGGTTATTAAAACCAAGGCAGCAACATTGAAGTGTCATGCAATCTGCCTAATCAGCAAACAAAAAAAAAAAAAAAGAGAAACCTCGAATAAATATCTCTCTTGGGTACAATAAAAGTTTGTTAATTATTATTGTTCAACGTCCTAAGAAGTTATTATATAACTCAGCAATTTTAATTAACCTTAAAAAGGAATTTTTGTTACTTTAAAAAACAACAATTTTACTTATAATTTTTGACACTCTGACCAAACAATTTATAAAAAGCGTTTACGTGAATTAATAATAATAATAAGGTATGTTAGAACTAAAGTAAAATTTGGAACGAAATATTTGTTACTAGATCTTGCAATTGCTCTATTGAGTTTGCCTATCAATGGCATGAACTTTACTTACATCTTGAGAGATTTGTCCCATATCCGCGTAGTAATCAACAGCGTAGTACATGAGTCCGGCAGAGAGTACGGGTCCAAGTTGGATATAAAATCGGAGTCGGAATCAGAGGTCGCAGTCAGTCGTTGCAGATCCGATCGAAGTAAAGAAATAACCAGTTTCTGGCCTGGCTCTTTGTTTATGGAGCCACAAAAGTGGAGCAGCAACGAAACGCAGCGACGCTAAACTGGAAATGCACCAAAGGAGGAGGCTCGTCCGCGGATCGGTTTAAAGCCAAACCAGATTTTCTCTTCTCGGCTTATTGGCGGCTGTTCAGGGTCTCCAGCTTTTGATTTTGTCAGGGCAGTTAAAGTGGGTTTTTGGGCGAAAAAATCAGCTATCTTCGGTGGGCTGAGCTACTGCTAGTGGCTTTCTTTCGCTTCCCAATACTAGCCAAGTATCCGAGGTCGCGGATTGTGATTCAAGCACTTGTACGTATGGCTGTGTATCCTCAGTACGTTCTTCTCATCAATAACTGCGGTTCCTTGACTCGAGTGACAAAAGCATTGGCAGTTGGTGCTGTTGATGCTGATCTTGTTTTTGGTTTTCATTTGTCGATTTGGGCACGATGACCTTTCCACTTTGCACTTGGCAATTTTCCCGCCGGAATCTCAGTTGATTTCGATGGTTTTACTTTTGTTAACTGCGGAAGAGAAAGAGAGAAGAGGTCGTTAGCCAATGGTGATCTTTATATCATATCATATCATATCATATCATATCAGCTTCCCACAGCAACAACTCGTTTTGCCGCTCAAATCTTCTTCGCGAACTTCAATTAGCATTCAAATGCCAGTCAAAATATTCAGCTTTTGGTTGCTTTCGTTTTTTCTTTTTTTTTTTTTTTTTTTTTTTTGTTTTTCTGTGAACATTTGGCCCGGGTACGAGTGTGTAGCCTACACAGACAGCGTCAAAATCGCGCAATGCCAAAAATTAAAAAGCAAACATCGAGCACAAAGCGAAACGCAGCAAAAAATTGGTAAACAAACAGCGGAGGGCTGCAGGAAATGAAAATGGAACTGGGAATGGTTAAAACGAGTTTGCTCCTCTTCCTGGGGCAAGGTGAGAGTCCGACAAAAAGTATAAAATAATGGCAATAATGGAGCGACGAGGTAAATGTGAAACCGAAATTAATATCAACTGCAAACAGCGCATTTTTGGCAGCCAGACGCAAAGTGACAAACAAATAGCCACGGCAACAGCAGCGGCAAACCAAACAAAACAAAACAAAACACAACACGGGGAAAAAAAACGGAAAATGGGGAAACAGATACAAACAAAGAAACAAGCCAAACAATGGGCACAACAATCCGAAACAAGGCATTCAGCGGAATAAACAAATAGAGAGCAGGGAATTGGGCTGGGAAAACAGATGATAGAGTTACAAGCCTGGATAATCTTTTGCGGTTTTTGGCCCCGCAACGAGGCAATCGAGACATCGTCATCAAAGCGAATTATGTAAACGTGACTCTGACATTGTAGGTGGCTGCACTGGAATAACAATCAAATCAAGAAAAACAATTAACAAAGGCTGCTTTTGTAACCCAACCAAGTTGGCGCGCACTCAAATAACATAAACAACGTTACAAAGTTTCCTATTAATAATATTTTATTATCGACAAAGTCATGAGCATACTAAACGCTTCACCGATTCAAAATCTCTCAAAGTCACACAAATCGGCTGCGAACAGCTGGGCACTGGATTCGTTGACAAATGCGACTGTATTAACATGGATGAGGCAAAGTTGTCACTGATTTGCCCAACTAATTAGCAAAAATATTGATTCTAAACTCGGCCTACTCCAGTCTATACCAGCACACTCCAGACTGTCGATGCACAGAAAGAAAATACAAATTTTTTGTTTGTTCTTCTACCTCTTATTTCATAAAGATAAATCGATAAACATATTGTCTTTTATTTCTGGACCTATATGTATTCAAAAACTAAAGAAGGGATATTCATCGGATATTTTTGAAATTTTCTCTCCGTGCTTCTCAGCTTCATCTCAGTCTCGTCTTGAGGGTCTTGTTTATCGTCGGCTATGTATGGACGTATTTAATTTATCCACTCACTCCACTGGCATCGTGGAATATACTATGGATGCTGTAAACGAACTCTGGCACGAAGTGACATTGAACGCCGTCCACAATAGCCAACTGTCGGGGCGTTGACGATGTGCCGCCATGCGTATGAGCGTTATTATCACGTATACGCATGGTAAACATGTTAAACAACATCTTTCCCATCCTTTTGGGGGCGCAATATGGGCGTGCCCGAAACCCGAAAAACACTTTTTGCTTCTGTGTACATAAATAAATTCAATCTTGCCACTGGCTTATAAGGGCTTACGGATTTTGATTTAATTTTAGCGAATGCAAAACACGAAAATTAACAAAAAACTTACCCATTAAATTGTATATTATATATTTGTTAGGGACAAAGGACGAAAATTTCATACTTTTTTTGAGGAAACGTGAAATTAATCGGTTTACGATTAAAATAATTAACCAAAGAGATTCTGTAACTAGAGTAATACTGATACGTAAACGACAAAATAAGAGCGAATGTGACTCAAAAATATGCAAAATTAAATCCATTCGTCCTTAATTTGTTTGGTAGTAGTCTTGCCAACCAAACTTCATCCGACAATGCACAGCTGGAGTTCGGAATGCATCAACCAGGCATTTTACAGACGTCATGCCGTCTCTTTGTGCCTTTGTATTTCAGTCAGACTATGCCTTTTTTTTTATTTTTCGCATTATTCGACTCACACTTCCACAGGATTAATTAAGGTATGACTTAAAAGGCATTGTCATCTGCTTACATAAATAATAATAATGGAACTAAATTAAAAATTGAAAGCACCCACATTCTATGCCTTAAAAGTCATAATATACATTTTGTTTTACAACTCCTTGGTGGTAGATAGAAAATTCCAAATTTGCCGCCAATTTGGTGACCTCAACTTGGCCATAATGTGTAACATCGACTGCTGCTCGGGCCGGTCACCAATTGCCAAGCGAATGGCGGCCCGTCGGCTTTTGCAGCTGCAGGAGGAGGAGGAACGCAGGAAGCCCAAGCTGGTGATCCCGACGCCCCAGAGCCTGTTCTACCCCTACGAAGAAGTGGAGGCCATGTCTCAATATATCATAGAAACCAGTCACATTCGTCCGAAATACGGTTTGATTTGCGGCAGCTTCCTGGGCTCGATGATCTCCCTGGTGGAGCAACCGGTGGTCATTCCCTTCGCGGATATCCCCAACTTTCCCGCCGGCATTGAGGCAAATGATAGCCTCGTTGTGGGCAACGTGATGGGTGCTCCCATTATCGCTTTGGTCAATCGGTTCCACTCCTGCGATGGCTACAATCTGGCCACCTGTTCGCTGCCCGTTCGCGTGATGCAGTTGTGCGGGGTCAAGACCATCATGCTGACCTCCAGGGCAGCTGCTGTGAATCAACAATACGGCCTGGGCGATATTATGCTGATCGAAGACCACATCAATGTAGTGGGCATGATGGATCAGACCTCGCTGGAGGGGCCAAGTGATCCGCGATTTGGCAGTCGACCCTTCTCGATGGTCGACTCCTACGACAAGGACCTGCTGGCGATGGGTCTCGACATTGGCCGGGAGATTGGCTTGAACAAATTCCTGCACCGTGGCGTCTACGCCTGCCTGGGTGGTCCTGCCAATGAAACTTTGGCCGAGGAGCGAGCACTGCGAACAATGGGTGTGGATGCCGTGGGCATGTCCTTGTTGCCCGAAGTTATAGCCGCCCGGCATGGTGGCCTGAAAATCTTCTCCTTTGTCATAATCAGTTGGGCGGCCAACGATAAGCCCGCTGAGGAAGGTGACAAAGACGCAGATCACAGATCATCAAGGACCGAGGATAAGGAACCGATGGAGGTCTCACCGCTAAGAGTGCAAGCCTGTTGCGATTTGATTGGTCGCCTACTCTACGATATGCACCAAGAGCGCTGACGATCGATTCGTCCCGTCCCGAAAATAGATTTCTTGAAGCCCCCGCCTTATTTATCTATTTTTTTTGTTTTGTTTTTTTTTTTTTTTTGTTGTTGTTCTGTTGCAGCAAGTGTGTTGCCAACGCGGAAATAGTGACAGGTGCAGCTGTTGCCGCAAAAGAAGAGTTGTGACGCGGGGCACAAGCGTGATGTGAGTTGGGAAACGTGAGGTGCGAGTGTGCCCGGTGTCAAGCTGTCTAATGGACGGCCCAAATGGCCAGCAATAAAAAGCGTAAAGTGCTTGGATCGCAGCACACTGGCCGTATACGTAATGTGCTCGCTTAGGTGGCCGAAATGTACAATTTTAGCCATCTGTAAATTACATTTTATGGCAATTAGCAAGGAATGAAACCCGAACTACATTGTTGCTTTGAGGCAACACATTTATTTTGGCATGCAGAGAAGGTAAACTTTGGTGGAAAACACATTAAATCTATCTATTATATTAAGACTACACCTAAAAGCATTTCCTATTTTTACTAAAGTCCAAATATATTTTATTGATTTTATGTTGAAAAATAATGTCAACAAAAAAAACTATAAATTTTGCAAGTCCCTTAATTTTTTATCTCAATAAAAATTATCCACAAATTTAAAAAATAGTTTTTCAAATTTTCAAACTAAAAAGAAAAGTTCAGAAATTCGAAATAAATAAATAAATATACCAAAATCTATCTAAAGTCTGTCAGCAAACAATAAAATTATACTCTTATTTGTATTCTAAATATACAGGTCATTAAAACCCTTATCATTTTTTTCAACACTTATTTTTCACGTATTTATTGCATTACAATAACAATCCCCATTGTCAACAAGCTAGGAAGTTACAATGGAAATTGCACGCTATATATTTCTTTCAACCAACTTGCCGCAGTTTAGCCTTATTTTGTAACGACAATTACAAACTTGCGCTGCGACTTCTTCTTTGTTCGTCATTGTTGCTAATTTTATTATTTGCCATTGTGGCGGTGCAGTAGCAATCGGGTAATGCGATGTGATGCGATGCGATGCGATGCGATGACGAACAACGTTTGCGCTCGCTTATTGACGCTGATTGCTCAGATATAAGTGCATATATAGGGGGGCAGCGATAGCCACGAGCTGTTTGCCTCGCAACTTGTATTTTACGTTTGCTCGTTCTGTTTTTTGTTTTTGTTTTTGTTTTTATTTTTGTTTTTTTTTCTGTTTTTTAGCTGCGCGATCACAGGCTAGAAAGCGAGATTTTCCCCGGTTTGCACCGATTTCCCTCGATTGAGATTTGTGCGGCTCGCTCAATGTTTCGGCCTGTGGCATTACGCTAATGAGTTATTCGCGGCCAGTTCGTTGACACCATGCGATGCGATGTGCTTATTGAAAACGCGTTGGAAAACTGAACTGAACTGAACTGAACTAAATGCAATTTGCCACCAGTTCTGACTGCGTTAAATTCCTATCGCTCTGTGGCTTCTTTGGGCCAGTTCAGTGCACTGGCATTACAATTTAATTTTAAATATCAAAAACATTCGGGGCATTTGTGCGTGAATAACAGCGTGCCAACAATTGCGGTGCCAGCTGATTCACAGATGCATATCTGAATAGATACAAAGATACTAAGATACGTAGATACATAGTTTTGGCATTTCAATTGCCGCTGGGTGCAACATCTGCCCGTTGGCTTGGCAATTTAATCGTCAACAGGGTTCTGATCTGCGGCTGACGCAATTTAAATGGCAAGCAGATGCCGACCAATCTGCGAAAAATGCGTCCAATGCTCAATCAACTGACACAGCAAACAAATGCTAATTATAATGACAAGAGATGCAAGTAATGGTTAAGAAGTCCATTTCAATTCTGTAATTTTAAAAGCAAAAACCATTACAATTATATTGAAATGCAGTTGTCAAAAATATTTAAATCATACCATAATTGGATTTGTATCCCATTTGATTCAATTAATTATTGGAGAAATAATTCAAAAATTTATTATTTTGTGGGAAATAATATTTTCGCACAAAAAAATAGCATTTTCATTGTAATATTGATTTGTTGATACCCATTCCACGCAGCGGCAATTATTGCACGGCAAATCTGGTATTATTATACAATTGTCGACTGTTGCTAGGTCTAATCATCTCCCACCATAAACAATATTTTAAGATTAGATTTTTTCATATATTAACATGACTAAAATCGACCCAATCAATTTTTATTAAGTCTGCTGATATACCCACAAACTAGGTGTTGTTTTTGCCTTTCTCATTTATTACTCGTTAAAATAAATTGAAGAGTTTGCTTGTAACAAGCAGCTGCAAATGTGAAATTTAAATTTTTCTCTATTCCACTAAATTGAAATTATTGAAATATAGTTAATAATAAACTAAAGTAAAGATACAAGAAAATGCAAAATCATTAGGAACAGAGAAAGTTTTCCGCTTGGATTGAATAACCTTTAGCTGTAGAACAAACGGAATATTCGTTTCTGTTGCTGGGCTTGAAGCGTAGGAAAATCGACATGGTAATTGCTCAGTTTGTGTGTGACTACTTGTAATAAGGAAAACTAGAAAATTGCACAAAATAAACGGCAAACCAACTAAGACGGACTGTGTTGCAGCTTGCGTTGTTGCTGCTGCTGGTGCTCCGGCTGGTGTTGGTGTTGCGTTTTCTGTTGTTGCTGCTGCTGAAAGTTCAGTAACCTCGTTTTGCGCCCATAGAAGTGACTATAATTTAAGCAGCAGTCGTAGTGCAAGTAGTGCACAGAAAACAAATAAAGCTATTTTAAAACTGTATGCTCTATTTACTTTAAGTTTTGCGGCTAGTAAATAAATTCTTATTTAAATATTTAAATTAAAGCTTTAGTTATTCGAATTAATACATTTTAAAAGTAAATTTTGGACCGTTAATATTCTAAATCTTAAATTATGTTGATCAACTTTAACTAAATACTTTTTGTCTTTCGTTCAAACACATAACCATTTTTAGATAAAAGACATAGGCTCCAGTTTTTCTTTCCGTGAAACTGCTTTCAAAATGGGCTTATGGGCTTAAATAGACAAAGGTCACTTAAAGGGTTTTTGGTCCTGTATTAAATTCAAAATTTTGATTGCGGGAAATATTGCATAACGTTTCAGTTTACCGCTCGAAAGCCGCTTAAAATTAATAGCAACATTGATGGGAAACACATATCAATTGCCCTCTCTGTCGCCGGTTCAAGTGATTTCCCATCACACACACAACACTGGCCAACAAGCACAGGGAACCAGCAATCTTAATGCGCCTGGCAACAGCGAAACAACAGCAACTTCAGCGGGCCCGCGAGCAACAGTTGCTCGAATGCACTGTGTGCGTGAGTATCTGTGTGTAGAGTGGCCGTGTGTGAAGTATCTGTGTGTCAGCGCGTCGACATAGCAACCGTTTATCATAATTGGCATTAACTGCCAACCATTCCTCAATTCTTTTCGGCTCGAAGCATTACGTATACGCCGTGATGGTATTAAAAATAATTCACTTCGGAACAAGGGCTTTAATTTAAAGGATCAGCATTTTATTATTTTGTTTTCTGTTGTTTTTGTATCAATTGTATTGTTTTCGCATTCGCGAATGTATGTCCAAAAATACCATGTCATGTACATCCTACTAATGAAATATATTTAACAAACCAATCAACATATGTGTTTATTAGCAAGATTCTATATTGTTCGTGTGATTACTTAAGTTTAAAAGACAGTATAAGGGGAAGATGGTAAAGCAGTAACAGAAGTATGATGAAATAAGCCAGACAAATGAATAATGGAAGCGGTAAACAACCGAAAGCAACCAAATGAACAAATGCCTTCAGCAATTTACCGAAAACTGCTGTATGAAGCAAATGACTGGGGCAAAAAGAGAGGGAGAAACGCTCACCGAACATGCTGCTTAATTTAGATTCTCGTGCGGTAGGTCAAGTGCCAATTTCCTCAACTCGAAAATGTGTGGCCAAAGCAAATCAAAGCCTGTTAAAATTGAATAAGAAACACTCAACCCCACTCGACTGTCTTCCATTTCTTTACACTTTTGGCTGCGCCAAATCGAACTTTTTTTGGCCCAAAACCTGTTGCTACCGTGACAGCCAGTCAATCCGAAAAGTCCCTGGCCCTGGGGATTGGACTGAAAACTCGAGGAGAAATACTGGCCAACTAACCGCAGACCTCACATATGACATCTGCCAATGCTTTTTGCGGACTTTCGGATGCGGTACTCCGAACTAATGCCAGCAAATTGAAACAGAATCTGCAAGTAAGCTGCCAACCAGTACCGGCTTTATGCACAGGCAAAAATAGCCAGCAACATTTTAGTCTAATAATAGCATTAATAAATTTCAAATTTATAGTTTTATTAAATAAGATTATAGTTTGATATTTGTGTACAATTTTAGACCATATAACATTTGAAATATTACAAAAAAAAATTTTTATAAAAAAGGAAGTACATTTTTGTAAAGTTTCTGAAAATTAAATTATTTTATTTTCAATACTTTCACTTTTAAAAATTCGGCTTAGGGCTAAAACATTTTTCAAAGTTGACCAAACTAGAAAATAGTTTCAAATTTTTTTCCGGTGTTTCCAATATTTAGCAAACATTTTTTCGTGTTTTCCTGTTTTTTGCCAACATTTTTGCCCTTCAAGCTCTAATGGAACAATCCTTTTGGCCTAAAAGCCTCTTACTGACATCCGAAAGTACTTTTTTAACGACAAGATGCGCCCATAAAGGTTGTTTGAAAATAGTTCAGTAATGGGAATTATTTTTATGTCAGGAGTGCAAAAAAATAAAGACTTTTGAGATATTTTTACAGATTGAATTTTGAGACTTACCCGTTTGTTCTCCGTATTAAAACTCTCTTCATAGACTTAAACGCGATAATTGTAATCTCTTTAAATTTCGGTTCATTTGATTAAGAGACTGGGAGGAAGTGCGCTCACCGTTATTTTTCTTTTTCTGTTTGTCTTTTAAACCGCTTTAGAGTGAGTTCTTTCTCTCCCTTGTTTTCTGATAACACATAACATTTATTAACTAATTGTAGTCTGTTTTCCCTTGGGAATCGACGAAGAGGTTGGGGTCCAAACATAAAACACGAACAACTGTGGATGAAATATTGTTTTGATCAAAAAAGCAATTTTGAAATGAAAAGCTAGCGAAAGAAATAGTTGTGCGGGTGTGAAGCGACATGGGATTTCGCTCGAATTCATAAATAATTCTTGGCCGATTTTTTGATTTATGCTCTTGCCCACTCATTAATTATGTAAGTCAAACGAAATTTCCCCCAAAACGATTGCATTTGGCGCGAAAGCATAGACAACGGCAAACACAGATAACAATAATAGTTTATATTTAAATTTGAACCGCGGCAGCAGCAACAACAATGGCCAGCATCGTTTAATTTGTTTACGCGGCTCGAGTTCGTTGTTATTCGTCTATGAGGCCAATCTAATTTATGCTCTTGCCTTGTTGTTGTTTCAGTTTCAGTTTTGGTTTTGATTTTTTAGTTTGTTTTTTCGGATTGAGTTGCTTTTTTTTTATTTTGCTTTATTGGCAGTTGCTTTTGCAAGAAATTTCTGTAGTAATTTTCCATGCAATAACAATGATTTTTGCTTTTTTTGTCAGTTTGTTTTTTTTTATTTTTGGCGCTATCTTTGACGCCTGCATTTGCCGTCTTGTTTTGTTCTTTCTTGTGTTAGCACACGTAACGTAAAGAAAATTACCAGAACTAACAAAATAATAAGAACGAACCGAAAGGGTAAACAAAATAAAAACGCTTATCCGATGTTTTTCGGAGTTTTCTGATTTTCCGCGATCTTCCGCTGCGTGTGGTGCGAGAGGGGATATCGGTCGTTTGTTATCGTATTTTTCTGTGGCGGCTATCTAGCTAGCCGGACAACCGAACGCGGCCAGCGACAAACTTAAAATGAAACGAAACGAAACAGCCGAAATCCACTGCCGATACAGCTGGTATCGCAGCCCCCAGTGCAACAACAACAGCTGACGCCGACAGAGAGCCAAAGAGCACTCGGCACAGCACACTGGGGAAAATAACATTAATAATAAATAATACTTTTAACTCCAACTAATCGCACAGAAACCTCTGGAGCCTAAAAGGTTCTTACAACAATGTCAATAAATAAAAACAGATATTTTAGTAGTTAATAAATTTCTGAGGGCATCACATACCGTTTGGGCTTGGTTCGGTTATACAATATATTCAATTTTTTTTTGTTTTCAAATTCGTATAAAACGTCGTCTTTCAAAATTATTTAATTAATTAAAACAGCTATTTTGTTAGATACTTTAAGAGACCTTTTAAAGGTGATTTGATATGTGGATTTTAGTAGTAATTGAATATCACGACGAATTTTTCGATTTAAATTATTTTTATTTTCTGTGTAAGCTTATTACAAGCAAGTGAGTGAGAGAAAGAGAGTGCGGGAGAGGGAGTGTTTGGGACAAAGAGAGCATACTTAGCAGCAACAGGCAGACAACAGTTGAATTGGTTGGTGGGGGCGCTGGCGGTGGAGGGGGGAGTGGCTCACTAGGCGCATGAGAGACGTTTGCTTGACTTTTTGTTGCTTCTGTTTTGAGGCTCTTGTTGTTATTGCCGTTGCTTTGTTGCATCTACTTTGTTGCTGTTGTCAAGGGTTACTCTGCATGCAATACCCTACAACAAAATACGATCAAGCATGCGCGGGAAAAAAAACAGGATGGTATGGTTAAAAAATATTTTTTTAAGACGCCCTTATTCCCCATCAACAGCCTAAACATGGAGCCGCCACTGTGATCGGATTAAATACGTTTCCTTGCTACTCTAAAGTAATTAGTGAGATTTTCCTTTTTTAATTTTTCGATAGGATACATAATATACATATATATTTTATCTGCTTATCATGGCCTAATGAATATAAATTTTCATCAACAAATTAATAAAAATAACATTCTTATAGATATTTTTAATATTTTAATGTGTAATCATAACATCCGGAATTCATCATAGCATACTTTTAACAACCATATTTTTTACAACCATTGGAATTTGAGTGTTATATTTTTAGTCTATGATAGATATATATAAAAATGAAGTATTTAACTATTTAATTATTTAAGTATTTCGTTACAGAGTACTCTTAAGACCTTATAGACCTAATCAAAATGTACAGTTGCTTTTCTGTGTTTGCTGTCTCTTCGGTTCATATATAAATTTTTTGTTCAACATATGTGAAGAGCACATGGAATAGGCAACAATAACAACCATTGACAACGAAGCGACAACAACGACGCTTCAAATGATTGAACTCTTAAATGGCTGAGGCCTATAAAACTGGGTGTGAGTGTGTGCGTCGCAGTGTTGGTGGATGCAAATGTATACGCAGTTATCAACACTTTTTAGTCGCTCGCCCTCCTATCTGGCCCCCTTTCACTATTCCGCCCCCCTCTCGCTATTTCTAGCGAGTCAACACAGAGCAAGCAAAGTAAAGCAAAGGTCCACAGTCGAAATTCCGTAACTCGAACTCACTAAAAGATTGATGTCGGAAAACATGCTCTGAAAAACAGACCTTCTTTTTTTAATATACCTTTATAAAATATTTTAACCTCTAAAAATCTCTGTGGAACCTCTGAAAAAAAATAAATTGGAGAGTACCGCTGTCTTTTAAGCTGTTAACCATACTGGTTAAACCCCATTTTTAGATTCTTAGAGGAGACATAATAGTTTAACTTATAATCAGCTAATAAGAGTATTTTGTTTTAAACTAAGAGGATTCAATGTATCGATTTGGGATACTCGAATATTCCATATAAAGAATATCCACTGTTTATCAAGCTCGTCAAAAGATTTCATAGAGACATGGCCCTGGCTTTGTTTACTCTATAGAGACATTTTCCGGCTCTACAACTCTCCGTATCCGCCCAACCCCACCCATGCCCCATCCTTTTCTTACTCTTAAAGTATCATGCGAATTCAGTAAGAGGCGTCGATAAATAAAGTGCCCGTCCCCATTTTTATTTTATAGCTAAATCGTGAGACAATAAAATGCAAAAGAAATGAATGCGAGGGGAAATGAAATTAATAAGCACTCGAGTGCAAAGTACTGTTCGCCACTATTATAGGCCGAATGCTGAGGATTTGCATTAAGGCAGGGAAAACGCTTATCAGTAATGGGAGCAACAGCAGCAGCGGCCTGATAACAGGGCTGATACCGAAATACAATCGTTGTGGCCGTGTGCGTGCGCCTAGAGATTATTATTATTATTGATTAATAAACAATTTTCTCACTCACACAGAAAATAGCTTAAAGCTAGAGGCTGTACGTACATATATACATTATACATACAGACATACATATGTACGGCTGTGTGTCCGCAAAAAGCGACGCGACCGATAAGGAATGACCGATTTAGTTCTATAGTTCATAGAGCGATACCCAACATCAGACTCGATTGACCCACAAAGATGAATGTGACAAACATGAAAGGCATATGTTCACACTCATATTTGTACCGGGGTCCAAGACAAACAACACAAATACAAAAATAGTAGAGCAATGTGGGGTATGACTTGCCGAATTCCGTAAGGCGCTGTTTCAAAGCCAGGTTTTTAATGGATAATATTAAAATTATTTTACAATTCGTGGCTAATAACTTTTGGAGTTATCCTACTGACTTTCCCAAATTATCTTAAATATTATATTCTAATAAAGGCAACAAGTATTAATATGAAAAATCATTCTCGATTGATTCTAATAACTCATGTATTTAATTCTGTCCAGAAATACGATAGTTTCATTTCACTTTTTGAGAGAATTTAAGTTATGGCAAATGTGTGAAGATGTGCAAGTGCACATTCAACTAATTTTCAATTTGAACTCTTGGCAGAATTATTTGAAACACATCAGTACACCGCTGCTATGCAACAAATATTAATTTTACTTACTGAGTTCTGCAATTAGGAAAGTAAATTGCGCTTGGCTTCTACAATTACTAAATTAAATTACTGGGTAAAGACTTTAAACTTGGGTAAAGACTTTAAACGTAGTTTAAGACATTTGTATGTTAAATATTTCACAGTGACACAAACTGTTGTATTGAAACGAAAACGAATATTTGAAATATTTATTCGCTTTTGCAAAACGGGTTATTAAATTCCGATTCGCACAGCACCCCCGGCTAAATACCTGTAAATCTCTTTTTATTTTAAGTTTTTCCCTGTTTGGATAATTGCTGGAATATCAGTGTTTCAACTGGCTGAATGGACTGGTAAATTGCGAGGAAAGAGCGACAGCAGCTCACTCATGCCAACTTTTTCCCTTTTTTTTTGGCAAACACGGTGCAAAAGACACAATTAACAAAACGTTAAAAAACCGTGTAACACAAAAAAAAAATTCGAATCCGTCGGTATACATTTAATTGCCCCGTGGATCCTGAAAGGATGTGGGCTCGGTGGTGTGGTTGCGACTGCGACCATATCACTTGTAACCCGATAAACGAGCTGCGTTTGCATGAGCACACCGGCGACCCTTTCACCTGGATTGTGTTACATCGTTTGCCCTTAGCAAATACATCTCAGCGATGCGTCAAACCGCCAGTGCGGCCCAACCCGCCCACTCAGTGCACCACAACCCACTATTTGCTATTCCGATGACGACGTTAATCTGCCTCGCAAATTGGCCATGAGTTGATTGGTTTTTTACCTGTTGCGCTCTCCCACCTGCAATTTATGTTGGTACCTTTGCCCCGGGGATTTGAGTCGAATCAAAGCTTTCAATGCATTGAAGTGCAGCTAATTACTTCATGTATGTATGTTATGTTCAAATCCGCCCACAGGCCTAATAACGTCTATCAAAGTCAGAAACATTATTTTGAAAAATGAGTAGATAATTATAATCAATAGTAAAGGAATGTAGCTTCCCTATGTACTTCCCTATGTACATTTCTATCCTTACTTATAAATATGTTTGCACTCCAATTTTCAGATTGAGTGCTGTCTTTTTTAAAGACGTAAAATTGGACTATTGAAAATTCAACTTTTCACAGTTTCAGGTCCGTTTCTACGCAAACTAGTCTCTCAGTTTTAAAGCTATCTGCATATAACTTTCCCAAAAATTATATTCCTGTTGCAGGTAGTAAATAAGTCGGCACGAGCTGGATCGGACGACTATAGCATATAGCTCCCATAGGAACAATCGGGGAAAAAAAATAAAGCTTTTGCTGTTTTTTAATATTTTGTTTAGTTCTTCGAGATGTAGTAATTGTTTATCATTTCAGAACTACGGTTTAAATTTCATTAACTCGGACGACTATATCATACAGCTCCCATAGGAACAATCAGATTGTTAAAACAAATAAATTAAAAAAAAGTAACTTCTAAACTTTTGAATTTAAAAAAAAATTCTCTTATATATATTAATAATTTGATAGCTCAGATTTAACACTGTGCTCCTATTAGGCACTAATAAAATCCTTAATCAATCAAAACACTTATAAAGCACTGGTTACTTTCATAACTTACATTAAATATGTTTTATTGTGACCGAAAACAGTAAAATTATGACGACCGGAAGTAGTGGCGCCAGTCCGAGACTATTGGTTGTTCGTTTTTAGTACTATCAATTCAAATTCTTGAGCAATCGATAGGTTTCACATTTCCAATTAGACCTATCGATAAGAAGCGCAACAGCTGATTTTGATAGTGCCGCCCTGGTCGCGTGGATGTTTCGATTTGAGTTGGATTTTAATTAAATTTCGCCGGTTATCACTGAAATGGCCCCGCCAAAGGCCGCCAGCCATCGTCCGGCGGTGCGGCGCAAGAAGTCCGGCAATTTGGTGGACTCCATCCTGGACAAGTACCTCAATGTGCGGTTCTTCAAGTACCTCATTTTGGAGCCGGCTGCTTTGCCCATAGTTGGACTTTTTGTGCTGCT